TTCAATTTTTAAAAAACCTTTTATTTCTAGACATTAATTTTGTGAGTTAACAAAAAAAAAATTAATCATTTGATTCCTTAAAAAATTTCTCTTGTGACTTTAACAATCCAATCATCTATCATAATTTTGAAAGTTTATGATTTAATTCAGAAATAGTATAAGTTTTTCCAAAAACTTTCATATCATTAATAATTTCATAAAATTAGCAAACTAAATTTTGAATAGATTCTTCATCTTCTATTTGAAATAATTCAATACCTATTCACCAAATTGTCAATTCTCATGTCCTTCACCTAAGAAGTTACTTTGTCAATCACATGTAGTTTATCTCATATTTCTTTGTTGTATCATAGCTTGCCACACAATTAAACTAAGAAGCATTCATGAAGTTAAAAAAGATATTTATGACTATGGCATTTGGACTCGTATTTCATTCATCCATAGTTTATTTTGATATAACATGTGTGCTATCTTTTATCATTTTGTAAATATTCATTGTTTGAGTCATTGCATAAATCGTAACTATTGTTTCTAAATGTATCTAATTGATTTCATCAAATATAAGTAATCTAGGGTTGGATGATTCAATTGTTTCACTAGTCATAGGACTTACATCTTTGAGATGTGTTGATATCTTTCTTCCAAGGTTTGGTCTAATATCAATTGATCCAACTAGAAGGCTAATTGAACACCAATAGGGGGCTGAATTAAGGTTTCTATGAATTCTAATGATTTTTCGTTTTAGCTGACACCTATATATGTGTCAACACGTGTTGTATAAATAGTATCTCTAAACTCCCTCTCACCAAGAAATGAATTTTTATATTGATTCATATTTACTATTTTTATATTGATGTTCACAAGCTCAGCCATCCAACAATTCAAGTTTGTCTTCTTGAAGACTTGATCCATTTAGGACAAAAACTTGCTACTGCTACCTTGTGCCTTCATTGAAATCACTCTCCCTCACCACCCAATTACCTTTGGATCTGATGGAGAAAAATACTTATGAATATAGAGTTAATTGCTTTGCCAAAATTACTTAGAGAAGATAGTATGACATTCTCACATGATGACGATGTTTACAGTTGGAGTAGCTTGAGAGGATGAATTGAATCTTCATGTGCTCCACTGATTTTGAATTTCAAACCTTCTATGGATAGTAAGTCTTAGTCCTTAAATAGTTTCATAGTTTTGTAAGAACCTCAACATTGGAAATCTTCATTCAAATGTTTGTCATTTCTAAAATGTATGGCAATAATATTTGAATCTTCCAAATTTTGAATCTCTTTATTCTCTCATCATTTTCATTTCAATTTGAACCAGCATTTTCTAACTTGAAAGAAAATGGTTAGATGTCTGAGTCAAAATGAATCATCAAGTTTTATTGATTTTTCATTCACATAAGCAGCTGACATGTCATTATGAAGAGGCTATGTTTGAAACTTTCATCTCTTTTATTCTTTTTACTCTATTGATGATTTAATCCTTGAGAGATTATAGGAAACATGTCTATCACTATTTCAAAAATTCAAATATTACATATCATGATTAGCATAATATATGATGGGATTGCCATATTTTAGGTGTCCTATTTTTTACTTGTCCTACTTTGGGCCTTATTATGTTGTGATTCATGTAACCTTAAGGGAATTCAAGCACAAAATAAAGACTCAACACTAGATACTACTATGTCACAAAACCAATAGAGATTAAAAAAATAACTCATTGGTGGCATAAGGACATGTTTTATTAGATAAGACCCACTAAATGATATAAATAACGGGGTGATAGATAATGATGATTGTGAGTATGATACAAGTAGAAAAATTAATTTAACTAACTGATGTATTCCATGTTGTCGAAATAAGAACACTCAATTTTAACATTTAGGTATATACTTCTTTATGATTATTATTTTTACTAATACAACCTCTAATTATATTTTAGTATAAATGGTGTGTTAGGTTGTCTCCTTTGGAATGGTACTATTAGAGTAGGTTCTCTCATATTCTTCTAAGGATATGAATTATTGAAAAGATTTAGGTGATTAATTTCTAGAATGAACATATTAAAAAATCTAAAAGAGATTAATATCTAAAAGAAGTTCTTATTAAAGAAAATTATAATTGATGTGAAAAAGTAAAATCAAACAATTGAGTATCTATTTTTCTCTCCTTATGTCACGACAAAGAGAAGAAGAGGGAGAAAAAAAGGAGGATGTAAGTAATCAATTAGTGAATTATATTTAACAAAGAGAGAAGGGTATAGACAAGATCCATCATTTGTCATCCAGCTGTGAAGAAAAAAGAGCAGAGTAAGAGAGGAAAAATAATGAAGTGCGAGAGCAAAAAGAGTAGATAAGAAAAAGAGGGTAGAGAGAGAGGGCAGAGCAGGAGAGCACAGAGAGAGCCCAGAGCAAGGAGAGTAGAGAGGGAGAGGCCAGAGAAAGGAGAGCAGAGAGAAAGAGAGGATACAGCGGGGGAGAATAGAGAGAGAGATGAAAGAACAAAAAGGGCAAAGAAAGAGAGAGGGCAGAGCAGGAGAGAGCAGGGAGAGAGGATAGAACGACCGAAAGCAAAGATAGAGAGGGCAAAGAGAGAGCAGAAAGGGAGCAGAGACAGTCTAGAGAGAGAGAGAGGGCAGAGCAGGGAGAATACAAAGAGAGACTCCAACCTTGATCCCCCCATGTTTTTATGGACAAGATCTGTCAAAAATACAAAAACTACCTTGATTTTAATTTTAATTGAATAATAACTATTAATTTCAATTAATAATATGAAATTTACTTTGATTTTACCTTACTTAACACATAAGTATAGTGTGTTATCAATGATCAAAAAGATAATGTCACTATTAGTGAACAACGAAGACAACAGCCATGAGTTCTCACTCCTATATCAACTTCAAACAATTCTATAATATGCTATTAGCCTACAGTGTTGTATTGAGATTGCTCCAAAGCCAATCCTGAAGCCATCAATCTCCAACTTGACGAGTCTAGAGAAATTTGAAAGCCTCAGTAATGAGATGAAAGATATGACATGTTTAAAACATTGAAAGGTTTATTTGGCCTCTTCAGTCTGATGAAATGCATCATTTTTTACAGTTTTCTCAAGGACCATGCCATGCTGCATAATCTGGTGTGAACCTCCGATAATACCCTATTAGACTAAGGAAACCACAGAGGTCACCTACACTAGTGGGTGTTGGCCAATTTGGCATCACCTTGACCTTGCCATGATCAACTTTTATGCCTTCAACTGTCACCCAATACCCAAGTACTCAATCTTTTATTGTGTAAATATACATTTCTGATGGTTTAGATGAAGTTGCTGGCATTCATGCTCCTACAGTCTTATTGAATATTAAGATATCATCATAAAATATACATTTCTATAAATAATCATGAAAATTCTAATTTATTAAGGCTTAGAAAGTGGCTGATGGGCTCTTCAACCCGAACAGCATGGCTGACTCGTAATGTCTCTAATGCATTTAGAATGTTGTCTTTGAAAAAATAGTTGATATATATAATTTTTCTAATAGCTCATTATCGTTGGAATGAAAAATCAATAATACCATGGCTTGGTTGAGGACATAGTAGTCAATGCAGAAGCCTCACTCGTCATCCTTTTTTTCAACAGCAATACCAAGCTAAAAATGGCCTCATCAAAGGCATATGATCCTTGCACCCACCATATCTCATACTAGCTATTCAATTTCCTATTTTTGAGAGTTAAAGGACACCTAGAGGGCCTAATGCTGTGGGAATGGATCTCAAGTGTAAATGTACTGCATGACCCACTACAAGTGAGAGAGGTAACTACACTTCTGGTTGTGTGAAGACCTCAAGGTACTTCTCCTAGAGCTGTTGCATCACTTCCCTTGACTGTGCTAGCTCTATGTACTTCATCACACTATTAATTGACATAGTTCTACAGCCCACTCTACATCAGAATATAACACTTTGATCTACTCATGCTTGGACCTCCCTTGAGTGTTGTAAATGGAGTTCCATCTACTCAAAATCACATGGTGAGCTTGTCCCAATCAACCACCATCAGAGGCCATGGTTAATGCTTCCTCTTCATAGTTCATACCATCCAACATCAATTTGTGTCCTTGATGTTCCTTGCAACTTCAATTTGGCATCTCCAAACACTCAACCTCCTGGCCACACATCTACACACTCGATCCTCCAGCTTTCTTGGAGTTCATCTCCTTGATGTTCCTTGTACTTCCTCTTCCAACACATAGCTCTAATACCAGATGATAGAAGAAGAGAACTGCAGGAAAAGGAACCAAATAGCAGACCAAACATACCTGAAAACAAGCAGATAGATGGGTCCCTTCCCTCAAAGGGTCAGTTCGAGAGGACCTTCCCCACTCTCCCTCTTGGCACTGAGCTCCTAATCTTCACATGCCCCAACCCTTTCCCAGAACTCCTCCAGCCTCCTCCATATTTACATGCTTGCCCCTAGTCTGATCTGTCAGCCGCTGTAGGGCAAGCGGTGGTAAAGAGACCAGGAACTTCAAGCGGAGGGGAGGTATCTGCTTGTGAATTCAATGCCACTTGCCAAATCCACCATCACATGCAACCACCCTAACACAAACCCATCCCCCACCCCTCACAGACCACATTAGATATAAATTAAAGAAGACAATACAAGGGTGTTTGCACCCAAAGCCCAATGGCCCTGTTGGCAGCAGCGACGGCGGCGGCAACACCACTTCCTGATCTGCTCCAAAACCTGCACAGTAGCCGATCACCCCCCTCGCACTGGCAGTGGCAGTGGCAGCGGGCGAAGGTGGTGACCTCTTGCCACAAAACTTGCCTTGCGGCAAAAGACAGGCCCAAACCCGGTAAGCCTTGGCACAGCATTAGCTGTATCGAGCTTCCAAGGGCCACGAGGAGAAGAAGCCGCCACACGGCATAGGAGGGGGTGGCGGTGGTAGTGGCGGCAGCGGCAGTGGCAGAGTAGAAGCCATCGTTCTGATCACTTCGCGGCATACCAGTTCGATGCACACTTGGCATCAACCGAGAGGCCAACTCTCAGTGTATTCTTCCCATTGAAGGGCTTGGACATGCAGTCGACGACAATGGCCTTGGCCTCCTCAGCCGACTCAGTTGGGCCTTCCAGTATCACCTCATCGTGAACCTGATCATATCACAGCAGCACAGAGAAATGTTTGATATGAATATTTCACTGTATTGGACTCATTAAAGGAAATAGTCTCCACATTGATCATTACGTTCAATGTAATGATTCCATGTGGAGACAATGTAATGAGTGGGAGAAAATAAGAGCCCATTTATCATTACGTTCAGAGGGAAACTCAGCTTCCCATGGGGTAATTATTCTTTTTTATATAAGTTTCAGATGAAAAAAGCATACCGAAATGCAGAGATATGTCTAATATTTTTTCGTCTCCCAGTTAATATTATCATATCCTTGAGAAAAAGATGCAGATGTGGAAGGGTTGGTTCCGGCCTTTCCATCTGGCTGGAAGAAACAGAACGTCTTCATTCAACATCAGTCGAGGCATAGTGAACGGTAAGAGATGGACGAACCTGCAATAGTAGCCTCCATCCGAGCTCCTGTAGCCGTTTGTTCTTGGCTATTTCGAGCATTGCACACATCGCAACATCTGCTGCACTGCCCTGGAAAATATGGAAATGGAGAGTGGAGCAATCAAAATGGATGAATCCAAAGAAGATCCACAGAACAGCACAGATGCATGGGCCAGACATTCGATGATGAGAAATTATAATCCACGCTTTAATATATAGCTCTATAACAGGCGAAATGATCATTAGGGATCTTTTCCGGTAAATATTTAGATGGCAATCCGCTTGATAAGCACAAGATTTTACTCTCTCAATTAAAGATCAAAAGGATCAGAAAATCAAGCTTAGGTTGGACATGGATCTCTCAAGTTGTAGTCCAAAGAAAACAAACCAAACAGACATACAGGAGGAGTATCGCTTGAATCCTTTATTAAGTAACAGTGGTAGCCCATGTCAATTGGCAACTAATCGGTCTACATTTTTCTGCTATGCTGTTCAAAAGAAATGGCAATGAAAATCAGAATCGTATCCATTCGTTTCTAAAACTTAAGAAAATCTCCATGTGAAATTTTTACAAATTTCAAGTGGAGTCATTGCGAAGGCAAACACTGTTTCTTTTGTGATCTTCATACAGAAATCAAGCGTGCATAAAACAGGCTACCAAGCAATTCTATCAATGCACGATTGAGCCTGCCATCATGAAACCAGAATACCTGCACAGGGGTATTGATGGCGGCTCGTTCAATGTGCCCCTTCTGAGCATTACTGACTTTATCCATTGAAGGGAAATGGCGAGCTCTTCCAAGTAATGTATGTACACATCTGTGTTCTTTCGCCTCCTTCTTCCGCGCTTCTTGCCATGTTAGAACTTCCTGCCTATCATTATACCACAGTTCAACCGTTTCCTTCGCTTCTTTAACAGAGACCTGAAGAAACGCAATTCATACGCTAAAAGTGAATTCAATGTACAGAAAAACAGCTTAAAGCCGCTTCACCAAACAAATAATCCAGGATTTACGCAGATTAACAAGTACCACAACTATTCTAAGATCATCAGGGAAATTTCACTGCGCTGCTTATAACGAAACATAGTAACACAACTATTATAGAGAGCTATAACGAAACATATGGACGTCACTTATGGTTGAAATCAGCCGGATCCAACCAGAGTCATATCTGAAATGGCAATAGTATCAATCCGATGTGAATCCACCACATATCAACATGCTTGGTAAAATCCACACGGATCTCCCAAAAGATATTATATAGATCTATCTATAAGAGTATGCATATTATGTATCATTAAAGTCGCCATCTTAATCTGCAAGGGAGACTTCATTACATTGAGGAGTGGATGCCAACCTGCTATTATGCAGCAAATATCAAGACCCTAAAAACTTCTACATAAATCATCCTCACAATACATCAGAGTTTCATCTAGTTGTTCCAACTATTCCTTATATGTCTTCCGCTTAAAAGAAATAATTGGAGTCTACTTAAATAAAACAATAGATTAAGGAGCTACCTTCCAATCACGCGAGAGACCAACTGGCGTTTTCCCATATGCAATGGAGAAGTTCAGCATTTTGGCCTTTCTTCTTTCCGCAGCAAAAGCATCCTGAATCAGAAAATAATTGACTATAAGATACTATATCCTCCAGTAACTTCCAGAAATTATAGTCATACCAGATTCATCCAGGCATCTTCCTAAAAAAATAAGTAGGAACATTTATCTCTGAAGTACGTTGTTTATGCACGACAACAACAGGAAAGTGATAAATATTGCGAAGTACGATTGAAATTATTTCTTTGTCAGCAAAGAATGTCCCGACACCGCATGCTTCCACACTGTCATATAATGAACCAAATCTTTCAAACAGCTTACCTTTAATAATGGAACAGGAGGCTTCTCCTCACCAGGTTGAGCATGCCATTCAAGAAGTACCTTCTTCTCATTGACAGCTTCACGAACGTGATCGTACATATTCATTGCTGTTCTTGAATGGAAATCACCACCAGCCTCAAATGCATGCAACATACTTTTGCAGTCTGCAAGATGTGCTAAGATACGAAGCTCCAGCTGTAATATTGCAATAGCCAAAGAAGAAGCCACTCTCATGAATGTCCTTTCTAAACTGAGGGAACACGTTAATTGACTGAACTCGAACACAGCTCACCTGTCCATAGTCAGCAACAATAAGAGAATTTCCTGGTGCAGCAATAAAAGCCTGTCGAATTTTGTATCGGTCTTTCTCAAGAGCTGGTTGATTCTGGTTTACATCAAAAGATATGTCAACGATGATTTAGAAATTTCCAAAATACTAAAAAACTAATAAAAATTTTACGAAAAACTAATGTGTCAATCAATTGACGTAATGTTAAATCTTTTCACTACTGTGAAAATAACAAATGTAAAACCAAAGCAGGTGTCAATAGGGACAGTTAATCCTAAAGGAGGCCAAGCCCAGTCATTTGTGTGGTTGAGCCCCGCATTACCCAGAAATATTTCAGGCCCTGTCCAGCCCACTGGCATATGAACGGCGTTGTGAAGGTATATCCTGAACGCAGACTCCTCCAACCACACTGGCACGCATGCCTCCGCATACATCAGCTCTCTCCATCCCCAACTACACACACATATGGCTCCCAGTCAAGCTGATTCAACTGTTCCCCAGGCTGGCTCACCATTCCTCGCATATGGTTTAAGATTTGATGTGACAAAGAGAAATCCAGAACCAGAACTCGAAGAAAAAGGGAGTGAGATGAATAAAGATCAAAAACACGAGAATTAATGATTTAAATGAAAATGATATCTTATCTTATCATCATTCAGTAATTGCATAAAGTTATTAACCTGTAAATTAGGTCTTCTGGCTGATAAACGCCCAGTCTCAGTATTGATGTTTAAAGAACAATGGATACGTCCACTGCGCCCTGCTATATGATTTCCCTGGGCAACAGAAAACGATGCAATCAGAAATTTCCAATCGCCCTGAAGCATGCGAAAAGTTTTTTCACAAAACTGTAGATGGGACATTGAGTTTCGATAACATATGATGTAGGAGAAGGCACCAAATTTACACGTTGAAAACGAACCAAATTTTACCAGCAAGCATATACATGAATGTATCTTCTTCAAGATGGTCTAATTGAGTCCCATCCTCGGGACAGTTTTTCAAACTAGAAGAAGAAAGAAACTAATTACAGGGTGGGGAGTTATCCTCTGCTCCACTTGTCACACTGCATTTCTCCTTTCTTTGCATCCTTCCGCTTCAACTAACATTCCACTTAACAATTGACAATGGCTGACATGGAATCTCATCCTAATTCAAACAACCTTGATTTCATGTCTTATCGCGGTCTATATGCATGATCTATGCTACCCCATCATGAAAGCAAATGTGGAGTTCAGCTGCCACAAAGCTCCCAGACTATCGAGGAACAGGACAATACATGAAATCCACCAGGATCTTATTTCCGGAGCACAACTAGAGGAACGCTGAGAAAGCAAAAAAGTTTATGAAAGGAATCTAAAAAAAGTGGATTGCAAGGCAGGTACTCTAGAACTAGAAAACATGTCATAAGAACACGCCGAACTTAGATAGAATCGCTAGAACTCTTTGACACCAACATAACAAAGGGATACTCAATGGTGTAACAATTTAGCCCTCGTCACCTTAATTATCAAAAACAACTTTAAGCACATCACTAAATTCCTAAACAAAAATCAGCAATATACGCATTGAACTGTGCATACAACACAAGCTAAATGCCTATGCTACTGAACTGGGAATTAGCCCATAACATCATCAAATTATTGACCTCTTCTCAGAAACTATCTTGCTAGGAAAAGTTTGAGCGAACTAATGGAACCCAGTAACTATGTCCGGCTAGCAGTAGTCAGCAGAGGAATTCCATTGCAAAGAGTAATTACATGTAGCACAAGAAATCAGGCACTTCACCAGCAGATATGAACAATAAAATCAGGAACGCGCATTTTATCGTACCTGCAGAGGGAGAATGAAATTGGATATCAAAGAGTCAATGGAACACACTTCACAAAGTGCTGCAATTGCGTGACAAGCTTCAGCGCCTTTTCTGCCACCTTTAAACGCAGAATAGGCTAATCCATAAGCAGATGCATCCCTGCCTTTACCACTCGTAGTACAACCATCATTTGTTGCTCCACTTTTGTTTGATGGAGACATATTACTGCAATCAGGTATCTGGAAGTCATTGAAAGACACTTTTCCAGCCAAGGCCTTCAGCGCATCACCGCTAACAGATGGCCACCCACTGAGAGTATACATTTCTACTCCTTTCATCTCGCAAATCCTCGAAAGAGTAATTTCACGGTTCTTTAATGGGGATTTCTTTCCCTCCTCAATGATCTTATCAGTATTAGGCACCTTAAAGGTCTTTGAGATGGGCAAAGATTCCGTTGGTTCCTTTCTGTAAAACATAAAGACAAGAAAAGGATGGCGTAAACCTATTACTCGGGTTCAAATTAACGTCAATATATAAAGCAGTATAACACTTACGAAAGTTTCAAGAAAACACATCCGGTAAGCAGTAGGGTATGACATCTATGGGATTACATAGTTGAGAAAGAAAAATCAAACCTTTCTACATAGCATATGGAGACAATGGCAGAAAGTGTTATTAAGAAACCAACACGAGATTTACCAAATCACAGGAAAACACAGATTTGGGGGGATTCCATGGACAGTGATTTCCAGATGAGCCAACAAAAGAATCCATAGATAACAAGCTACTGATCTAGAATTTTAAAGTGGATTAAGTCCTCAGTTCAAATTTTTGATAACAGCATTTGGGGGTATGTTTCCTTGTTTTTCCTTCTTTGTGCTAGCTCAGGCTGATCTTAACTAAGTGGCGGACCAGCAGACGCGGGGTTCAGTCAAACAAATGACTTAGCTGAATACATTCCTATCACAAACAACTCAAGTACAGTTTCCAGTTTCTAGATCTCCAGTTGCTCATGAGCTAAGGTGAAAAAATTCATGTTAAAACTAAACAGATGACAACTACCTGACGAAGGGGTCTAGATTAGCACCAAGATAGAAAGTGATCAAGGCATTTCATAGCACATGATCCTTCCAGTGTTATTTAATCAAGGAAAACACTAATGTAGTATTATTAAATTTACCATGCCTAAAGTATGCTCTAAACCACTACGAAATCTCACACAAAACCAAAAGTATCAATGACAGTACATTTCAAATTATCTTTAATCTGAACACACTAATGTGGCGTACTATGATTATGAAATCAAAAAGCTTATCAACTAACCAGACAGGAAACAGAATTAAGTTGCAGGAGTCACACACCACTTTCATACATACATGAAAAATGTTCTCTCACATTGCATCCGCATGAGAAGTGACTTATCAACGATAAATATAAAGTCATTGAACTTCCGTGTGAACTGTTATCGAATATCATTGAACTGAAATCTGTTTGTACAAAGCACTTGTAAGCTATGACGTTCATATGATTTTTGAAGCATGAAACTAAGTTTTGGCTATACAACATGCTTAGCCACCTAAGCAATAATGCAGTAGGCAACCAATATCCTCATTTGTATTAATTGTGCCTTGACAATCAACAATTGAGTCCCAAGAAAAATGTGTACTGAGCATTTCATAAGAACCTCAGCAGCCTACTCACCCTAATCTACTGGCGGTTAAGAATCAGTTCAAGTGGTATGAATACTGTTAGGCCTAAGGTAATAGTAAAGGACTAGGCGTATTATGAGAAAGTGCATGTAGGGTTCGTCCCTATTTAAGGGACGTTAAAGGTAAATGAAGGATTGAGCCGGTTGTCTGCCATTCTCCCCTCTGTTCTTCAGGATAGAGGGCATTCTACCTTTGCCTATGTTTTGCAACAAATACATATTAGCCTTGAATTATTATGTTGGCAAAGAACCTATTAGCCAAGAAGATGGCAAACAAAAGCAATGAGATAGATTAGACGCCGTCACTTTTCCCTCCTTTGGCAAATAAAAAGAACTCTAATTGTCGTATATCAGCTTTCTGCTAATATGGTAAAAATCAACATCAATCATTTCACGCTAAGATTATTGGTCCAACATTCATCACAAATTATAGAAATTATGCCCTCTCAAAGGCCATCGTGAACCTTACAATGATAAACGCGAAAACCCAAGAGAAATTCCCAGGCATCAAACACCAAAAGACAATCATTTCACGGTAAGATTATTGGTCCAACATTCATCACAAATTATAGAAACTATGCCCCCTCAAAGGTCATCAGTGAAGCTTACAATGATAAACGTGAAAACCGAAGAGAAATTCGCAGGCATTAAACACCAAAGGCAACATGTTTTGGGTATAAGGCGTTCAGTTACAAAATAAACCGCGCTCTTTGTAAAAGCACAGAACTTTGGGAACATCTTACGACCATAAGAAAACCTGCATCAAGAACATTTCCTTTCTACAGTGACGAATCAGACAGAAAAATATTCAAGCAGATAGTCGAATACAACAAAAATGGACATTATACAACTGCTCCAAAACGTGAACCAACAATGAAAAATATAAAACCGTACTGAGAAGGGATGAAACACGAACTTGTTTTGAAAACCTCCAAAAAATAGCTGTCGTATCTGAGCATCACTTCCTACATTCATATATTTAGCATCAGCGCAGTAGGAAGATGCCCACTTGCGGAATCTCTCAGCAGCTACTTGCTGTTCAGCAACAGCCACTTTTTCAACCTCTGCGAGATAAGCTCGATCAACAAGCATCCCCTCAGCTTCCATTTTAATCAGCAGATCACCAAAAGGACGCCAATATTCATTATAAAAGTCATACATGGAACCTTTCTTGGAACCATCGATAATCCAGTCCCTAGCCATCAGTTTTTCTTTTAAGCTTTCGAAAAGTTTCAGAGTGCTCATTGAATCTAATGCAGAGTAACAAATCCAGGGTTCTCTTTCTTCCCTCTGGAGTGTCTCTACAGAAGCAATAGAGATAAGTTTGCCTTCAGATCCGTCTTTCTTTACCTTTTTCTTGCCAAAGAGGGATTTCATTGAAATCTTTCCTGTGGTCAAATCATCTTCACCATTGGCAGACTGTTTTTGTCTTTTCATGACATTCCCATTACTTGTAAGTGCCTCAAGCGAATAGCCACCATCAGTTCTCCTCGAAGAATCCCACAGTCGTGCAAGGTGCATTGTATCAGCATGAAATCCAGAAATATTTATACCATAGTTCCGAATAACGTGACTATCAAAGCTGTAGTTATGCCAAACCTGTAGATGAAGCATACATCATTTCTCTAACAATTTCATGTGCATCAACAAAAAGTTGAAGAATAAAAAATCAAAGAACTATATAAATCATAATATATGTAACATAAAAAAAGGAGAAAATTATTCCCATAAGAGGGAACATGCAAAAAAATATATGAAATTGTATGTGAGGCAGGCCAAGTGTCATCTTCACAAACTGTGTCTGATAAAAAGGAAAGGTCGCAACAATGACACATAGAATAAGATAACTTCACAGCATAAAATATTGCAAATTCATGAAAGGAATAAGTCAACCTCACCCAGCACTAACTCACGTCAGTTTTCACTCAAATTCCACAACACACGTACGTCACTGCACATCGACGAACAATGTCCCTAACATTTAATTCGGAAAATAGCTCTGATCCATTTAATAGTCCCACTGGCAAAAGTGGCAAAATATAAAGAGGAAAAACATGTATAATAGTGTATTATGTCGGTAGCAACAACAAAAGCCGAACAAAGGTATGATTCATCTGGAAAAAGGCCCACACTAGGGGAAAAAATACAACCAATGACATTGAAAGCATATTTCTTCTTCAGACTAACTTAGACTCTTCTTATTTGAATTTGTACGATGTCATTCAGATAAAAGAAAAGAAGGATGATTTATTAAAGGGCGTGTTTAATCATGTGTATAAAAGAGGATATTTTTAAGGGCCTATCAAGTAGTGTTTCTGCAATCCCCAGGGAACTAAAAGTTTCTCCGAGTTTTACATCTATGATGTTTGGCATTTGCAAATAAATGCTTTACTCATATCAGCGGTTACTAAAAGTTTGGCAGTTCCTGCAACCGTTTTCACTCTTCAATTTTCCCAAAGTTCCCCTTTGAGTACCACTGTAACTGTCTACAAAATGTGCATGTCCCCGTACTACTTTAAAGCCTCAGTTTTCCTATAATTATCCCCTTGTATATTTCTGACATTCCCAAAAATGCTGCCTTTCAAATTTATTTAAAACACCAGTCCTCGTAACCATGCAAATAAAATAAAAAACCAAAACTCCATTGCCCAAAAACACGATGAGCACACAAAGCTTTCGGCTAAAGAGCGTGAAGCTTAATAAATTATCACCTTTTTAATCGCTGGGTTCTCGAAAAATGGAATAAACTCCAGCAAAATATTCTTCTCACCATCAAGTACATCCACCCAGATACAGGACCTTCCGTTCCCATAATCTGCTTGTTTTCCAGAATATATACTGAAACATATAATCTCTCCATGGTCAACAGGTGTCTCCTCCTTGACATCAATTCCAGACACCTGTACGGGTATAAGTATTGATATGAAGGTAGAAAACATGAAATATTTTCTTATGTCAGATGAAGTAAATGAAAAAACAAGGGCAGTCGTCAAAAAGTACAGCCAGGACGGCGGTGCAACCCACAAAGAGGTACGAACAACAGAAATTTCCTTCAAGCATCCACCAATATACTAATGTGAAATATATGTTGAATTCATGAGCTTCGTCATACTTCCTCCTGCTGGGCAATCAAGAACCACTGCATCCTTCTTTGTCTCTCCAGGTAGAAGAGAAAGGCATAGAACGAATAACAATGGAGTTGGGCACAAGCACATCAAACTATGGGTAGTCTCTTGAATGTACAAGGTCTTCCAACTGTGCTTTGGTCTTCAATACCATCCACAAGCACATATGACCGAAAACTCACAAAATATTTGGCAAGAGAACTCTGGACTCGGGAGTTTGTAGAGAGGAAGTTTTGGTCCCGGTAGCAAGAATAAGGTGTAGGCCGTGGAGGTGGATAAAGGTGAGAAAGCCAGACCATAAAAAGCGTATGTAAAGAAATGCGAGAGTAATATAAAGCAAAGGAAATCAAGTTTCAACAGATTAATCATCAGGAAAGACACAAAGGACGATTACTTTAAGGTTCAATGAGCAGGGAGTACTCATAATAGATACATAGCCAAAATCATATTAGAATTCCAATTTTCCAAAACCCAGAGGAAAAATTGGCCTAAATACCATACTGGATACAATCTTGTATGGACATAGAAGTAAAGAAAAAAGAAAATTCGCAAACACATCTTCAACCAAATACAGCCCCTTCAGACAGTATAAACCCCCATCTCAAGAAGATGGTCCAACAGAAGAAAAAAATAGCATGGTTTACGAGGTTTGACGTTCATATTTAATATCACTTTTTATGCGGTCATCATAAAACTTTTTATTCAGGATATCTTCCTTAACACAGTATGTCACTAGCACTTTCTATTACAGAAAATGATACTCCATGACTGGTAAACAACAGGAAAGTTCAAAGTTTTCAGAAGCATTGAAAAGTTACCATACCTCTGTATCACACGCATGGATAAGGTCCTTGTGCTTTGTTGTGAGTAACTGAACTACCTTCTTTGCTGCGGAAATCGTATCAACAATAAGAACTTTGTCATATAATTTTTTAAGCTTTTCCTTATTCATCTGCTCGTGGATATCATTTAGCTGTTGTTGATCAGGGCATGGATCACCAGTGGACTTGGGATGATAAACTGTAACATAAGAAGACCCATCCTCACCCGTTCCCACCTCAGACTGATGTTTTGGTTGGAGCACATCGTGTTCAGGCAGAGGCATATCAGTGTCACACGGTGACTTAGAAGCCAGGGATCCATTATGAGAGAACTTTGTCTCAGAAGCTCTCCTCGAAGATGTCACCTGTTTAGATCGTTTCCAACTGCTAGGAGAACCAGAAACATGCTCCACTGGATACGTGGGATGAACTCCAGACGAAATATCTCCGTCCTGTAAGGCCACATCGTCCTTCATGGCAACACCGTTCTTATGATCACTTGACAACTTGTTCCGTAGTCTCTGAGCTTCTCTCAGAAGCTTATTTTTTTCCTTTTCTAACAGCCACTGGTTCTTCGAACTCGAATAACGATCAGATTCCTTGCCAATGCCTGGAAGCGTAAACTTGTAAGCTTGCGGCAGCACAAATGACTCCGAGCGCCGATGTGATGACATACTGCCAAAAGAGGCCGGATACAGAGTTTTGCGCATGACATTCTGCACAAAAACTGGCGTCTGACAGAAAACTGAATCTCGTCTAGACTTCAAATTGACCATGCGAGAATGGTGAGCACCACAGCCAGGGATCAAGCAGAGTCCTCTCTGGCGACCCCTGTTTTTTTTTTTGGGAGCGGGAAAACCATAAGCACAAGACGCCTCAAGACGAAGGACAAACCAAAAAAAAAAGGTGTACACTATAATACCAATACATGGATCAATGTAATCAAAGTTCTATTAACTCGAGAGAAGATAAACGGGAAGCGATTGAGAAGAAACTCCCTCACCTCAACAGGCCCGGTCCCATCCCGTTTGAGGAGCCTTCCAAATCCGCCCGGGACTTCGCCAAACTCCCACCCGCCGGCCACCGGCTTCTCCTCGGCACGAAGAGTTGAGGCACCCTCGCTGTCACCTTCTGCGAAGGCGGCTGCAACGCCATCTCACACCCCCTCTATTCACACTCTGTCGGCCAGACCCTGAGCTCAGGGAGAAGCGATTTCTCGCCGCCGCCGCCACCGCCGCCGCCGGAGACGTCCGCAGGGACACCGGAAAGGTTCCCAAAGCCGAGGAAGAGACGGAAGCGGCAGCAGGGGCCCCCTCAGGAGCTCGGTGGGGAGGAGGAGGCAGCGCAGGGAGAGGGTTTTTGAGGGTTTAGACGGCCAGTCTGTAGCCAAGAAGAGTTGCAGGGAAGATAACGCGGGGGAGGGAGTGCAAGGACGACGCGCGAAACATCATGAGGTAAAACTATTATGATCATCATGAGCCCAGAGAGTAGGACAGAGACAGAGAGGAGACAGTCTGATTTGTGGGACCCACCATGTCATGTTTCTATCCGTAATCCTTGATATTCAAACGCTTTACCGGGCCGGACAAGGTCGGCCCAAACAGCGGCGCACCACCTAGGCCCTAATCATTCCGGCCCAATAACCCTGGCCCAGTTTGCGCAGAGAATAGAGAGAGAGAGGTACGGATTCCAAAACCCGATAAATAGTAAACATATGTAATAAAATATATGGAAAATACCGTCACCGTCTGAAAATGGTCCCACAAAGGTCCTCTCTCACTCATCTTCCCCCGCAGCCAGCCTGGCCTGCAACGACGGCGGCGCTCAGCGGCGGCACCGCCAGTCACCGGAGATTCCTCTAATCCTTGTTCATTCAGGAGCACCACTGGCGGGCGTTCTGGAACATCCTCAGCCAGGGGCTGGGGCCCTTGGCATCCACCTCCCAGCTCTTCGGGTACCATGGGAACTGCCACATCTGGAAGCACCGCTCCGGGTGGGGCATCATGGCGAGGTGCCGGCCGTCGGCGGAGCAGAGGGCGGCGATTCCCAACGGTGACCCGTTGGGATTGAACGGGTACACCTCCGTCTCTTTGCCGTCGTCGTCGCAGTATCTCACAGGCGCCAGCTCCGCCGCCAGTGCGCCGCCGAGCACGGCGGCGTCGGGGAAGTACGCCCGCCCCTCGCCGTGCGCCGACCAGACCCCCAGCGTGCTGCCCTCCATCCCCTGCAGCATGATCGCCGGCGAGGCCTCGATCCTCACGCTGCTGAAGCGGCACTCGAAGCGGCCCGACAGGTTGTGGACGAACCGCGGCTGCGAGGCATCGCCGTTTTCTCCGGCGCCGCCGCCACCGCCTGGGACCCAGCCGAGGAGGGCCATTAATTGGCACCCGTTGCAGACGCCGAGGCTGAAGGTGTCCGGGCGGCGGTAGAACTCCTGGAACTGGCGGAGCAGCGGCGAGTTGAAGCGGATGGAGGCGGCCCAACCCTTGGCGGAGTCGAGCACGTCAGCGTAGCTGAAGCCGCCGACGAACGCGACCCCCCGGAAATCTCGCAGCGAGACGACGCCTTTCAGGAGGTCGGACATGGCGACGTCCCAGGGTTCGAAGCCCGCGGCGAAGAACGCCGCCGCCATCTCCCTGTCGCCGTTGCTCCCTTCCTCGCGGATGATGGCTACCTTGGGCTTGTTGGCGACAGCGAGGAGCTCGCCGGCGGTGGGCGCCGGGGAGAAGGACAGAGACCACGCCGGCGCGCGACGGCTCTTCAGGCCCTCCTTCTCCAGGAGAACGCAGGAGGCCAGCCTCTTCTGCAGGCCCTCCAGATGGAAGCTGGTCTCCTCCCACAGGTCCCTGAGGAGGGACGTCTCCTCCTTGAGCTGGAGATTCCCGTTGACTCGGACGGTCACCGTCGGCGCCGCCGTCACCCGGCCGATCACCGCCGCGGTGACTTCCGCCGCTCGGAACCGCTCCTGCACGGTGCCCAAGTCTCCGGCGGCAACCTCCATGACGAGCCCCAGCTCCTCGGCGAAGAGCACCTCCAGGAGGCCGTCCCCGCCGGAGGAGAGCTCCAGGTCGACGCCGCAGTTCCCGGCGAAGGCCATCTCCAGCACGGTGACGAGCAGGCCGCCGTCGCTGACGTCGTGCCCGGCGGAGATGAGCCGGTCGGCAAGCAGACCCTGGACGGCCTCAAAGGTGCGCTTCAGGTGAGGAACGTCGTCCACGTCCGGGCACTCGTCGCCGACCTGATCGAACGCCTGCGCCAGAGCGGAGCCGCCGAGGCGCCGTCGCCGTCGCCCCCGCTTGCCCAGGTCGATGTGCAGGAGAACGCTACCGTCGGGGAGCTTCAGATCCGGCGTCACGGTGAGGGTGATGTCCGGGCAGGTGGCGTACACGCTGATCACGAGGTTCCCGGGGGCCTTGACCATCTCGCCGGCGGCCCGGGCGGCCATGGAAAGGCTGTCCTTGCCGCCGTCGATGGCGATGCCCAGCTCGATCATCGCCTCCGCCAGGGCCACGGCGGCATCGTACATGTCCGCCCCTTCGCCGTCGAGCTTGGCGGCGTACATCCAGTTCCCGCTCGCCTTGACGTCCCCGAGCGAGGTGATGCGGGCCCAGACGAGGTTCGTCAGCGCCTCCCCCACGGCCAGCCTCGCCATGGCCTTGGGGTCCAGGAGCCCCTTGATGGGCTGCTCGCCGATGGCGCAGGCGCCGCCGGTGAGCCCGCCGTAGCTCTGCGCGATGACGGCGACGTCGGAGAGAGGGAGCTGCAGGGGCCCCACCGTCTGCTGCTGCGCCACCAGGCCCGTCACGCACCTGTCGACCTTCGTCGTCAAGAACCGCTTGGAGCAGACGGAGGGCAGCCGCAGGACCCTCTTCAGGGAGTCCATCACCGTGGTGCCGGGGGCGATGTCGATGGGCTCCCGCAGCCTCTGCACCCTGTTAAAGGAGAAGCTCTTCTGGGGCATGTCCCCGAGGACCTTCTCCAGCTCGAGGTCCACCACCGGCGGCGGCGGCGGGAGGCCCTCCGCGCGGTGCTGCTCCGCCGCCCACCCATCCATCAGCACGATGCGGCCCCCCCCGTCGATCCGGCCAATAACCGCCATGGACACCCTCTCCCGCTCGCAGACCGCGCGCAGGAAGCCCTCGCTCTGGGGCTTCACCAGCAGGGCGTCCTGCTCCTGGTACTCGGCGCCCCAGATCTCGAGCACGGACATGGTGTGGTCGCCCACCACCACGGCGCGGATGTCGATCTCCGCCCCCTGCGGGTAGATGATCTCCTTCACGACGTTGCAGTTCCCACCGGCACCCTGGTCGTGGATGCTCACGATGGGGTTCTCCTCCCCGAGCTCGGCGCAGGTGCGCACCACCCGGTAGAGCTTCTGCGCCATCTCCGCATCACCGCGCTGCACAGCGTTGAAGTCGAGCTCCGCATCGTTCTGCCCGCTCACCATGCTGGAGGCGGCGCCGCCGCCCATCCCAATCCGGTACGCCGGGCCACCGATCTTCACGACGAGCATGCCGACCTCAGGCTCGTCCTTGGCGATGTGGGCGTGGTCGATCTGCCCGATGCCGGCACTGAACATGATGGGCTTCAGCCACTCCCGTCGCTCGCCGTCGGGGAGCCTCATGCCGAAGGTCCTGGTGTAGCCCTGGATCAGCGGCTCCCCGAACTTGTTGCCATAGTCAGAGGCGCCGTCACTGGCGTCCACCAGGATCTGCAGCGGAGAAGCCAAGTTGGAGGGGTACACGAACGAGGAGTCCTCCCACGGGGCGGAAGCCCCCTCCATCTGCAGGTTCCCCACGCAGTACCCCGCGGTGGCGGCGACCACAAAAGAGCCCTTCCCGGTGGCGTGGGTGTCCCTGATCCGGCCGCCGGCACCGGTCTCCGCACCGGGGAACGGCGCCACCGCACAGGGGAAGTTGTGCGTCTCCGCCGTGAACAGGATGTCCAGGTCGCGCCGGAGCGGGCAGAGCGGCGATGGCGAGCCGGGCGCCGTCGGGTGCAGGAAATCCACTGCAAATCCCCTGATGGCGCTGGAATTGTCCTTGAAGCCGATGACCGAGTTGCCAGGGTTTGCCCTCAGCGTGCTCTTGACGATCTGCATGAGGGTGCCCTCCACGGCCTCCCCGTCGACGATGAGCTTCCCGTTGAAGAACCAGTGGCGGCTGTGCTCGCTGTTCGACTGCGCAATGTCAAAGAGCTCCACGTTGGTCGGATTCCTCTTGATGTCGTCCCGGAAGAGGGAGGTGTAGTACTGGAGATCCTGCTCGTCAAAGGCCAGGCCCATCCGCTGGTTGATCTCCTCCAGCGCCGCCCTCCCCTTCTCCATCACCGGAACCACCACCACCGCCTCCGGGACCAGCGCTGACTCAAAAGACTTGAGCTTCCCGCTGTAGACGCACTCCGTCATCCTGTCGTGAACCATAGCGGCGAATTCCTGCACCTGGTTCTCCGGCAGAGGCCCGCTGCCGGGACGGAGATGAAACCGGTACCTCCTCGACCTCTCCATGCGGGTGACCTCCACCAGCGCCGCCGCCCGGCATATAGACACGGCATTGGCCGACCACGCCGTGGTGAAGGACAGACGAGGGCCCACCTCGACCACCACAGAGGAGGAGGACGACGACGATGATCTCGGCACTTCGTCGTCCTCCAGAAAGCTCTCCAGCCGCAGATTCTCAGGCTCAAAGGTCTCCTGCAGCAGCCACTGGAGCACCGCCAGCTTCTCCCCCGACAGAGCGCCACTCAACCCGATGTTGAAGCACTGTTCCGTCTCCAGTCCAACAATCTGATCAGAGACCTTCACCTGAGCCTCTCTCAGCAGCTCCGCCGCCGCATTCTCCGACATGAACGGCCGGCGGTAGAAGTGAATAATCTCGGCACCCCCCCGAGCGCCGCCAGCTTCTTCGTCCACTGAAGCCTGCGCTCCACTTGAAACCACAGCCTTTGGGCACAACACAAGCGAGAGCTTTCTGCTCGACGAAATGCCGCTACTGGCAACGCCGGGCAGGCGACGCCCAGGGGCGAAGGCGCACCGCGTCTTGCCCTGTGATCTCCTCGGCAGATAAAAGCTTCGCCTTGGCGATCCCTGCATCAAAAAATTCAAAATAAATATCTCTAACAGGAAGGACCAAAAACCATAATATTTCAACGATCAATAAATTAATGGGCAGTCTGTCGAGTAAACACCTGCAATGGCAGGAATTTCTTCGCGGCAATATCTCCAAGAGTCACCATTGTTCACTGCACCGCGGAGAAACAATTATCAGCAATCTGCAAGAAAACCCACATGGTGGGGACTAAAATCCCACGCCATATAAATATGTCTGTCTTCCGATCATGTCTTCATCAGCTACACCGTTCGTTCTCAGCAGGAGGGGAAGGGAAGAGTTGACCCTCTGATATCAGCTCAAAGGTTTTATCAGACGATAGAGAGAGAGAGAGAGAGAGAGAGGATCAAATGTCTTTCTTCGGCTGGGGTTGTGAAGGCCGCAGGCGAGGTCTGGTGAGAACCTCGGCGCAGGGATTGGAGGAACGGGATGAGCTGATCGAGGGGGAAACCAGTCGATCAGAGGGACAATGGAAAGAGGAGTGAGATCGAAGAGAGTGACAAGGAAGAAAGCAAACTCATCCCACCTTGCTTGCTCTACCCTTACCCTCCCCTGATTCCTATGGCAGGAAAACTGAAGACCAAGAACGAACTGGGGGTGCCCGCGATGGCGGCGAGCTCAGCCTGTCCAGTCTTCTGCCGCGGCGGCAGCAGCCGACCGGCAAGAAGCGAGAGAGGCTCTCCAGCTGGATCATATCGGTCAGTCCTCGATGAAGGTATGAACAGAGCATCGACTCGCCGCTGATAAGCACTCACTGGGGCAGTCAATCGGTCGGCCCTTTCAGCGCCGAAATGAATACGCCGGCGGAGATGCGGAGGAGAAAGGGAGAGAGGAGCATAAGAAGAAATTACGATCGAACCAGACGAAGAGGCACAGGACGGGGCCAGCAGAGCGCTGAGAGCAAAGATGCTCAGATCAGACAAGTTCAGAGGAACGAACCTGGCGGGCGGGAGATCCCCGGCGAAGCAGCGAGGTTCGTCGCCCTCCGCTGGCCGGTGGAGGAGACCTGCCAAGTTCAGAGGGAAGAGGAAGCAGGAGTACGGCGGCCTCTGGCCTTCCCGCTTCCTCTCTGAGCACCGGAGGAAGAACCCTAGGAGGAGGGAAAGAGGTAAAGGGAGGGCTAGCGGCGACGGCTGCAAGACCTCCGATTTTTGACGGGTTTATGGCGAAAACCCTAAAATGCCATTGCACCCGTCAAGTTGGCACCGCGGCACCCTATCCGCTGCGGCCCCGCCGCAGCGTGTGGGTCCCACCCATTCCTGTTATTCTCTATGATCCGGATGGGGCCCACTCCGGAGATTTTTCCGCAGATATCTACGTCCTTTTAAATACTACCCAATACAGAGGGCAGCCAACGGGCAAATGGGGCCCAATAACAAACCGACCCGACTTGACTCGGGTGAGAGGGAGAGAAGCCTGGGCTAATAGGGCTTCTTCCTACGACGATTCTTGACGAAACCGGGGCCGGCTCAATAGAATAATGGACCAATTGTTGGGCCTGTTTGAGTTCTCATGAGAGAGGAGATCCAATGCTGCGCCCGAGTAATTACGTCCATAATTACGTAAATATGATATATATATAGGGTTGAAACATTCTAATGATATTTATAAGGAATAATGGCAAACTTAATAAAATACCAGGTGCCGCCATCGCGAAGAGCCTTGTTCCGAGTACACCACCCGCCGCTGCCGGGCCATTTACTCCGCCGAGGTCGTCGCGCTGACGGGAGGATCCCCTTTGTCCACTGCGCCGTCGATACCCTAATTCTTGGAGATCCCTACAGGTTTGGGCGGCAGCGAGCTGCCATGGATGCTCACTTGTGAGAGGTTTTCTGCGGCTCTGTTGCTTGATGGGTGATCCTTGCTTGAAGCAGGGGGAGGCTGGGGGGCAAATAGTGGATAAAGGACCTGAAATTGAGCGTTCGTTTGTTTTTTGGCTGTTCCGTGGTTGCTTCACCGTCGCCTTCTCCCTGATAGTGTCCTGCTTCCTGTCGTTTGTATTCGGGATACTCGCTCTCCTGATTGGGAGCTCCCCTGGGCTGCAAAGCCCGGTTTCGATTCCCTCTCAATGCCGGATCGTCTCTAGCGGTGAATAGTTTGTCCCTGAAGCAGTTTTCTATTTTGTACTTTCTATTTATCGCCTTATTGAACTCTCAAACCTTTTGCACGTGTTTCTGCCGTCGGAGATTAGAAAAGCTAAAAATAATAACTTATTCAACAAATTCATTGTCTGAAAAAGGGAAAGATGCTGGAAATTTTATATGATTCTCTTCATCATCTCAAAATTTGATCAGTTGACTATATACATAACAGCATAATAAACCCTATTTGCATCTGTTTAAATGTGCTGAGTAAATTTAAAAAACTAAATTAACCGATTTTCTCGTCAAGTAGGCTGGTACAAGTCGTCTAGGTTGTAGGAGGAATTTCTGAGGAACAGAGCAGAAGCTTCCCTTCCTGTAGCTTGCTGACTTTCTTAACTAGAAGAAGGCTTTTTGGAGGGTTCATCAGCAACAGCAATCGTGTCCTCTTTACTAACTTCATCTTTCCCTGCCTTGTCATTCTTTTACAAAGATGAGTAAGCACCACTTTAATTATGGATGACTAGATATCACTAAACTTCTTCTGGTTATATATTAAATTTTAGATGATTGTATTACAAAGGTTTGATTCTTGAAACCAACTCCATGTACAAAACTAGTACAGCAGTTGACCTGAGGTACTGGATGCGAAAATCGATACCTTGTAATTGTTATGCGGTGATATTTTTCCCCCAGTTACTTTTCGTTTCAGCATTTAAATAAATCATGATGCAATCGCAGGATTCTTGCCCATGGTCAAACCCCTAAAATAACAGTGGTATGTGGTACTTTCTGAAATGCTCCCAGTGTTTTTAAATTCAGATGGGTCACAATAAAGACATACATGTATATATGAGCGCATAAGCATTTTCTGCATAAAGTGCTAAGTCAGACCCCAAAACCGACATAACCTGAGCTACGACAAATACTTGCCATAAAAACATTTGGGCATGAACATCTTTAGTTAGCCTGATTCATTCTTCTCCAGGCTAGACTTAGGAAGTAAATGTAACATTAGCTGATGAAAGCTTTTCTCAGGTGTGGACCTCAGGTCATCCAAGGTCTGTGAACTCTCACTATCAAATTGTAAGGCCAAATACGTTCTATACCCATCGGGGAAACCAAAGATTCAGTGTCATGATGATTACTACTGGGCATCAGTTTTCAAGGTAATGTCCTTTAGTTGGTTCTTCTTTAGTTAACGCATAATGGTGATAAAAATTCTCCAATAGAAAAAAATTATAAATGAGGTAGCACTGAGTGAATTCATTATAGATTGATTGCCTAGATACTATTTTTGCTTACCCGTGACTTGTGGTCAATGAAATAACAATGCTTGTTTATCTTTGGAATCAGTTTCTGGTTTTTGCTCATACATTGTCCGTTGGGTGTGATAATATTTACCACTTAAAGTGGAGAGGGGACCATAACTCAGGTAACCAAGGCCAATGGTTCGTTTGACCTTCTCGTTTGGTCTTCCTATTCAAGAAATGATTCTATACACTAGCTTTATTTCTTTTTCCCTGCACCTCATCATGGTGGTATGACTATGGCCCAGACATCTTGAAGAGACATAAACTTATTAAGCATGTTTACCGACCTCAGCCTTGAGAAGACCGTACTAGCCAAAAAAGAGGCTCTCCTTGTTATTTTTATGATTTTAAAAATTCCATGAGGGACTTCACAACAATGGAAAACTAAGATAAAGCAGTCTTTTTAAAGATAGCCTTGTGTGTCCTCTATGTTTGATCTATTTGAAGTTGGTTTCTGTGCCGGGTAGTTCGTCCTTTTAGCTTCACAATTTGGTTCTCTTTAAATCTCTGTAATGTTAATAAAGAAAAGTTGTTAATGGTATCAGTGATCTGTTCTTGGAATCTATTAATCAGTAATCGCAAAGCCTGCTCGAAAAGGTGTGAATGCAGAGTTAGTGAAATGACCAAATTGATAACTCAAATTCTGTTGATTTTACACTTTCGAAGAATATTACCCAGACATTATTGTAACTTAACTTCTTGCTCCTTGGAAGGCTTTTAGACTATTGACTTGGGATTCTAGTGTATTTTCTGCCCCATGATGATTCCATGTTACTTCCACGTGTTGAAACATCAAATCAAGCTTGCTTTCTGCAGGTGGAATACAAAGAATATTTTTCAGGGAGAATGATTCGTGGAGTAGCTGAGTCTCCAAAAGAAGCACTTCCTATTTATTGTCGGCCTAGTTTCAACGGGGTTTGGCGGACAAAAAATAAGTTTAAGGTATTTTATGTGCATGTGACAAAGAAGTTATCTATCTCATCCAATATTTCAAGGTTAATCTGTTTCTCTACGGATATTAACCAAGCATTCTAGTTGATCCTATGGATATTCTGCTCTGCATTTCTTCGTTTGCATTAGATATGATTAACATTCAGCTTAAGAGCTGAAGAACTAGTTGGTTCAGCAGGAAAGAGGACAATAGACTGAAAGAAATGTGTTTTCGCATTCCTGCAAGCACTAACGATATGAAGGTCTGAAAGTATTACAAAACGGAAAAGAAGTCTACAATCATTTGAGCATGAGGCAATTTTTTTAGAGTTGTTTTGAACGTATTGTTGACATTTTTACTTATAAATTTTGTGTTCATCGTTACCCCCCTTCTTCACAGCTTAGTCTATGAAATTTAGGAACCAACACTTATCACATTAGCTTCATTTTTTAGTGTCCCAAATTTGTGGAATCTTAGTTTCTTGACCTAAAGTTCGTGCATAGAATCCAACGCATAGCGTAATCCAATCAGTATTATAGTTTTCTATCATCAAAATCAGTATGTCAAGTTCAAAATTTATCATGGTAGGTTGGGCCCTCTTGGCTCAGTCCAGGGGAATTCCTTAATCGAACCAAAAGCTCGAGAGAGAGTAGTGTTGTCTTTAACTACACATTGGTAGATTATTATTGCCGATGCAGAGAACTATTCCCTCATATAAAGATCAATTCATAGGCTTGAATGAAATGATCTTCAGTTGCCTCCATCGTATCTTTGGTGACGCAAAATTTCAGTCTCACTGATCGAACCGAAATAACTCAATATAGGTACCACAAGATAACCTTCCTTTTATGGGATACTTCTGATACTGTTGCCCAAATTTACTTAGTGCTCCAAAATATGGTCTATTTTATTTCATTTAGCGTAACAGAGATGAAAGAACAAAGTGTTTGATCTGCTTTTGTTGATCTCTCCCTTTTCAGGTAAATGAAACATACCATTGCAAGTATTCCCTGGGCACCTTCAAGGCAGACATTTACCCTGACCATCTCTTCAATTGTCAAGTAGGAGATCCATCATGGGCCGAGATGATCAGAAGATTCTTCACCCTGTAAGTCCCTCTTTTCTTGATATTCCTGGCTAAGCAGCTCTGCTATGTATGTTCTAACATCGGTAGATGTGGTGTTATCACACTTCCTTGCCCCTGCCTCATGAGAATAGCATAGTCTACATCTGTTCACGAAGTCAGCTAAAAGTGGAAAAAATAGAGCACTCAAGTAATATCTCCGAAGTGGATCCGCCACTGTTGCTCTGCTAACTATATCACCTCGACTTGATGTTTTCTCAACAGGCTCCTGAGTTTTATAAAGTCCTTCACATGGGATACTCTACAAGGTTGGCATCATATACTGGCTGTGGCCACTGGGAGTCTGGGTGGTATCATCTCTTCAATGCTGGCAGTCGGCATAGCCAAAGTCCTCCAGCCCTTGTGGCCAGCATTGTTTAAGAAACTGCAACCTGTGAAACAACACCTCTCCATACTATCGATGCAGCTGAGGCGGCCCTGCCTACTCATCGCTTACATATCCGCAGTCAGCTGGCTGGCCCTGCAATACATCGAGATCATCGGTCTCAAGCAGGTCCTCATCGACTCTCTCTCTAGAATGGCCATAACAAGATGACACCCACATATACCAGCTCTAGCTTTTATTCATGGAAATCCATGGCTGAGGCTGCCATATGTATGGACATCAAGCGGCATTTGAAGGGAGAATTGAAGGAAGATCTTCTCAGGACCAAGTCGGGGAGCATCTGCATTCCATTCAGTCTGATTCCTTCCTTCCCAAGAGAGGTACGTCACTCTGATGTCTATTTTACTCGACATAATTTTTTCTCTTCAGTTGTAAAGTAGAGTAAGAAGGAAGTAAAGGCCAGAGGAAAATAAGAATCTACCCAAGGGTATGATGATGAAACAGAAATCTCTCCTTGTTACTGGCCATTAGGGTACTTTTGAATGAATGTAAGCTCATAAGTTATGTTCTTCAAGGATCAGCATTAACCAAATGATGACTCTTCTCTCTCATGATCGTACCTGTCAGCCAGTTTGAGGTCCAAATTTAGACCATCCATAGGGAAACAAGACGTGAAAAAAAAGGGTTAAAGAAGGGTTGTTTATGGGTCAATTCTAATCTGACTGCCCCTAACAAGGAAAAAGTGAGAACATTCTTGGTGGATTTAAAATTTAATTAATCATCCTCTATATGGATAACCTTAGTACACTCAGGCTATAATACTATTTTTGTATCAGTCCCAAGTGAGCCTCAATTCAGTAAGGAGTCAAGAGAGCGGGTGGGATCAAGGAAGAGACCCAAAAGCTAAAGCCCAAGTTCTAGCCTTATTTGCTCGGCATAGCCCCTCTGATGAATGGGCGCCAGCAAAATTAGACTGATAATTCTTTCTTCAGGTTAAAAATTTTCAAGAACAATCATTGTGGTTCCATTCACCCCAATTTCTGCATCATATGCTAGACGAAGATATCATGAGTTTTTTTTTTTTTTTTTGAGTAAAATAAATTAAAGAGATCAGGCTAATCTCTTTACAGACTCTGTTTGTGAGATCCTTTCCTTCAATCCTCACACCAGAATAGAAATGCTGCAAGAATTTTCGCTTAATTAATCAGATGAAAATCAACGGTAATCCATACATCCTATTTATTTATTTTTTTGCCTCCCTTTTCTGCGTGCAGTTTGAGTGGTGGGTCCGAGGGAAAATTTGGTAGGAAAAAACTCGCACATATTTCTTCACATAAATTCATTATTGATTGTCAGTAGGCTTCAATAGTCATAGAATCATCTTAGGAATCTGATGCGTTGTGTTCCCCACTCCCATCGATCCTACTTTCTTAGAGAATTTAGCCCACCAGGCTGAAATGGAACAACAATCAAGCTGGATTACTGTCCATATCTAACCACTGCCATACGTCTCTACTAAAGCTTTCAAAAATTTTAAAAATTAAAAAACCTTTTAATCTCAGGATGTAAAAAAAGCTTACTTCAACGCCTTTAGATCTGATCGGTTAAAAGGCATTTTGGAGCAGCTTTGATGGGACACTTTGTGGTGTGTGGTTCATAACCTGTCCCATCATATCTTTTAATTTTATTTTTTTAAAATAAAAAGTATCTCTCCATTGATGCCCAAAAAAAGATTTTTATTTTTATTTTTTTTCAACCAGTCCGCTCTGAAGTGTGTTCTGAAGTTTCTTTCTCCCAAGGGGCTCTCTCCATGGCTCAACTGACCTGTTGACTCACCAAAGCTTGTGAACTTGGAATCTTCAGATGAACGTTGACTCACCAAACCATTGGGTCAACGGGGATTATCATATTTGAAGCTATGTGCCAAGCATTCATTCCACATGAAACAATACACGGTGAAGACAAGTGAGTTGACAATCTTCCCTCAAGAATTCTGCTCTTTTTTGCCCTGCAAAACAATTAATATACCATGAAGCCTGGCTTCAATCTTTAGCTCCTGGAGAACACCCACATGACCAGTGAACACCCACACTTTACATCCGTCATCTCCAGGCTGGTGGCGGCTGCCGCCACCACTGACATGATAGATCTAGTCCACCACAAGTGAGGTGGTCGTGAAACTAATGCACTAATTCTGCTTTTCTTTCCATCTGAGTTCCTAATGAGTGCAAACCCAAGAAACTCCCATCATTAGTAGGATCATGTGGAATTTCTCCCTTCCTTTTTTTTTCCCAATAATCACAGATTTACAGCCAAAGCCCCTCGCCAGATAATAAATGTAGCCAAGTATGCTCACATGCCCAATCACTATATTCGAACCAGATAATCACATACCCAATGTGGCATTGGATTTCGTCATATTACAAAAATATGTTGAAGAACTCGATTATGATCAGTCGCAGCATGATGGCTCTGCACTCCAGGATCAATCTAAACCAGCTGCTTATGGGAGATGGCCTGAATCAACAAAAATGTCAATGTAAGTACTGGATCTCTTGCAATAACAGCAACAAATAAAGACGTAAAAAACATGGATTTCTAAACATGGCATCCTAAGTAAAGTTCCTTCACGACTCAATAAATGCACAACGCAGACAAAAACATTGTAAAATCCTCATGGCTTTGACCTTTGTGATGTAACAAGTGAGAATATTTAAAGTTGGATGGGTTTTCATAACTTAATCTGCTGAAAACAATGTTGCAAGATTCATGTGATGAGAAAAATGTGATCTCATGAACGTACTTCATCTGTTCATCGATAGTCCTGTGTTCTTTCCACTGCTCATGATCAATGTTTTCAGTAGTCATGGCAGCTTCTGGCAATCAGATGATCCCATAATCCATATGGAAACTGGGGGACGGTGCTTTCAAAATCCACAAAAGAAATCTGACAGTTTATTGATCCATAGAACTATCTTGGTAGATTATCTAACAAATACGAATTTAGGTTTTTCACTGAAGTCACTCTCTCAATCGAATGAGCACGAAGTAAGTAGCTTCATATGGAGAACCATAGAACCCAGTTCAGAACTAGAACAATCGTGGTAGGAGCCTCAAGAATCTCAGAGCCTAAACAGATGGAAGAATATCCAGGGCAACTTCCTTCAGTGACGGCATTTCTTCCTGTTGATGCATGCAGTAATACTTGCCATTCACCTTCCTCAGGACCTTCCAAGGCCCTGGATAAGACCTGCAGATAGAGAACAAATCAATTTCATGGTCGCCCATAGAGAAGGAGGAGCTCTGCAGTGGAAAAAACTGAATGAAACCTGAATAGAACTCCACCCTTGCGCCCTTTAAAATTATGAATATAGTAGACTGTCTCCATGTTGGGTAGGAAGTTCTTGGCTAGTTCGCCCAGCTTTGGGTAGAAAAATGGCGGATAATCTTGGCTGGTCAAGTTCCATGGTGATTTAATGAACCAGGAGCATTCGTCCTTTTTTATTATTTTGGGGAGAAGGAAAAGAATTCTGAAAGAAGGATACATCCTGTTCTTATCCGGTCCAGCTCTCCATTGAATATAATGAGCTTTCTCTCGGTGTTCACAACCGCCTCCCTGTATAGCTCTTCCACCACAAGCATTTCTGGAGCAAGGAGCAGCTCTTGTTATATGAGCAAGAGACGGAGGAAATATACCAGAAAGGGGGGGTGGTTGAGGAAGTGCACCGTTGACATTGAAATATGGATAAGCAACCAAGAACATCTGGTCCTCAGGCTTCACGCGGTCACTCATTTTGACTTTGGTGGTGAACCCAAAGTCCTCAAAAAGGGATGGTTTTGTCAGATAATCTAGATTGAGTGAAGACCCTTCGAAAACTGATTTCCTCGCAAAGTCAACTTCATTGGCCTCCGGAAAAAACTGCCATTTGACATTTCCATCAAAGGTTCAAGCCCAGATGTTAATTTACAGCAATATGTAGGAGAATAAACCGATTTTATCTATTCATTGAGTTGAATTTATTTCGAATCAGCATGTCAGATCATGAGCAATATACTATTCAACAGTGCATGTAAGAAATAAAAAATAAAAAGATAAAAAAAAGGAAGATCTGGGAACATACTATTCTAGTTCGCCTGGCTTTCTCTCCCACTAGAAAACCATCACAAAATTCTCTGATGAGCTGCATGCTACCTGTCATTTCTATGCCTCCTTCACCATCCCCTGCTCACGCAAGCACACCCCTTCAGCATACAAGGAGGAGCATCATGATTGTAGTGTAATGCCATGAGGAGACTACCTGGCACGGATTCGAGCCCAGCAGTTGGGAACTCGATCTCCTGATACCCATGCTTCTATTAGTATTGGGAAGATGAGCACTTTAGAGAGCGCATATAGTAAGAACCAACTCACCACCAACTGTTTATTGTCTCTCAGAGCCAGCTCGGTTGCAGCTTTAGCCTGCAAAATTTTGGTGCGCCTCTGTTAGGGTTCTAGTTTCTTCATCTGACATTGAAGAAGAGAATAGAAAGGAAAAATAAAAAAATACCTCAATTCCAGGTAATGCTGGATGGCAAGCAGATCCAAATATCTTTTATCTGTCAGTCTGATTTTATTTTTATTTTTATTTTTATTTTTATTGCATTCATTCATCATATGAACAAAGAAGATGGAGATGATTATTTTACATGACAGATTGAAAAAGAAGAAATTTAGAGCGACCAAAGAAAATGGCAATTAATCTGTTGGGCATGATCTGAACATTTCTATGAATCAAAGCATCTTAATTCAGATTCTGGGTGTTTTCACAAGTTCACTGCTTATCAATATCCTCCACCAACATATTTTTCGTTAATCATATGAGCAAAGAAGATGGGGATGATTACTTTACATGACGGATTAAAATAAAAGAAATTTAGAGTGACCAAAGAAAATGGCAATTAATCTGTCGGGCATGATCTGACCATTTCTATATATCAAAACATCCAATTCAGATCCTCTTCACAGGTTCAATGCTCATCAATATCCTTCTGCAACATATGATACCAGCATCGTCCAGTTCATAGGATTCCATTTAAATAGACATAAATCCTGCCTAATTAATAGAACATGCTGTTCATTGAAGCATCCTCCAAACCTTCAACAGTTTCACCTTCTCATACCCACCTGGGATATCAAGATGTAATGAGCTGAAAATGTCCCAAGGTTATAAATAAATTTTTCATCAGATGCAGGCATTCTAGTTTATGCAATTAGATCCTGAAACCCCCCCCCCCCCCCCCCCCCGCGCCCCAAAAAAAAAAAAAGAAAAAAAACCCTATTGAGCCTCCAGTTGCAAGATATGTATGCAGCATAATTCTCAAGGCATCTTCTAAGCGGTGCAGCGCAGGAGACAAGGTGCCAGACGAGGGGGCGAGGTCGAGAAGCATGCACAGTACGCCATGTTCAGTGGGACGAAATCCTTCACCTGCGTGAGGAGCTCGTCGTAGTCGCCTGGAAATCCAACGTCTGAAGCAGCGGACGAGCTGCCGTCGCCGGACGCGCGGCAGGCGACTGCGCCGCGGCGCGCCGCGGCGGCTGTGGCTTTCGATCCATCGATTCCTGCGGGAAGACGGCGAGTCGGCCGCCCTCTACAGGGAAACTGCGATTTCCGGAGAGATCAGTGCGGAGATTTTCGTCTGCTTGAGCCAATCTGAATGGACCAGAGCGTACAACGAGCTTACGGCGATCGCCGGCGAGCCAGACGTCGGCGACGGCGGCGACGCCGCCAGCATTGCCATGCGGGCTGCGGCGGAGAGCGCCCTTATTGGTGGCCCAGGTCGCCGCAATCCCCTCCGGATAGGCCCCTCTCTCTCTAGCCCTCACCGTCTGAGCCTCTCTCTCTCTCTCGCTCTCTCAATCTCTCTGGCTAGCCCTCACCGTTGACCACATTGAGTCGCGGGAGAGGCGCGCTGTGGGACCCACAGGAAACGATTATAAAAACGAAACAATAATGTGGATTTCTGCAAGATCGAATTTATTCAGTTAGTTATTTTTTAATCTCGGCCCCACCAACTGCAACCCTAGTTAATGCAAAACCAGCGGGGCCTAATCTTCCCCACCCCTCTCGCTCTCTCTCTCTCTCTCTCTCCCCGCAGAAGGAAATTGCCGGAGATTGCCGTCTCTACGACGAGGCCTCCATCGCAGCCGCTCGGATCTCCCGCCTGAAGCCCCCGGCGATGGCCTCCCCACTTCTGTTCCTCGTGTTGATCGTAGTGGCCCCCGCCGCGGTGCTGCTTCTGGCCCTCTCGTTCCTGGTGCGCCCACGGCCGGTGAAGATCCCCGTCAAGGGGCGGCACGTCTTCATCACGGGGGGCTCCAGCGGCATTGGCCTCGCCCTGGCCAAGAGGGCCGCCAGGGAGGGCGCCAGGGTCTCCATCCTAGCTCGATCCCTCTCCAAGCTCGAGGATGCTCGCGACATGATCCGTGTGGCCACTGGAGTGGAGGTGGCCATCTACAGTTCCGACGTGAGAGATGGTGCTGCGGTGCAGAAGGCGGTGGATGCGGCCGGCCCAATCGACGTGCTGATCTGCAATCACGGGGTGATCGTGCCGCAGGAGATGGAGACCCAGTCTATCGAGGACATCAAGTTCATGGTGGATGTCAACCTGATGGGCACCTTCCACCTCATCAGGGCTGCCCTCCCGGGCATGAAGCGCGGTGGGGGTCCGCGATCCATTTCCCTCATGTCCTCCCAGGCTGGCCAGGTAACCAAAACCGTCCGATCCACCGGCCCTTTTAGCAAGTGATCGATCACTGATTTTCATCGTTTTGCCATGTCGAAAATATCGCCCATAGGTGGGAATTTATGGATACACGGCCTACTCGGCGAGCAAGTTTGCTCTTCGGGGACTTGGGGAGGCCCTGCAGCAGGAGGTCATCAACGATGATATTCATGTTTCTCTCATCTTTCCACCGGACACAGAAACCCCTGGCTTTGTACAAGGTGAAAAAACATTTGACTTGCAATCTTCTTGAAATATCTTCAGTGTTTTCACCGTATGTCGTTTAATCTTATCCCTATGAAGCCTGGAAATTCATTGTGCCTTCTGTGAATTTTTTTTCATCGGATCTTCAGTGGATTTGGAAGGATGATGAATGGTGGTCAAAATGCATGTATTTGGCACCTCCCTTGATGTCATAAAGAAAGCTCTCGCTGGAAATTGCTCGTTGATGTTTGACTTTCTTGTCTGCCCTTTAGTTCAATCATTTTTGCTGCCATCTTTCTATACTAATCTTTCTCTTCTTGTATATCTTGATGTTGTGCTCTACGTTTATATTTTCATAGTTAATCTAGATGAATATTTCGTTATTGACACCAGGTATTATCTCTTACTGTAGAAAGCAAGATAAGGCCAGAGGTAACCAGTAAAATAGCAGGTTCTTCTGTTGGAATGAAGGCTGACGATGTGGCTGAGAGGACTCTAAATGGCATCAAATCTGGAAGTTTTATCGTCCCCTGCAACTTCGACGGGCTTATGCTGGCCATAGCCACCTGTGGCTTGTCTCCTCAGCGGTCATACCTCATGGCTTTCTGTGAGGTGACTTGCGCTGGTCTCTTGCGGTTTGTTGCTCTATGCTTCCAATGGGGCTGGTATGCAACTATTGAAAAATGCAGTGCCAGAAAGAAATAGTAAGCCCACTTATACTTTTCCCAGATGAAAGTAGTAATACTGTGTTGAGTGCTTAGTGGATTGCTGAGAGAAATGCTTGCCATCAATTAGTTAAAATGAAATGCTTACTTTATGGGCTCCATCTCCCTCATGAACCAATTTCTCTTTCCCTGCAGGCTTTGTTTTAGGATGATTGGTGCAATATATAATATGCTGCTTGGCTAATTTTGATATGATACAAATAAGTTAGGAAAATATAAGATGCACCAGAACCTTGTGGTCCTGTCATCTGGAAAAAGCTTTTATATATATATTGTGGTGGAAAGGTTTTAGGACCTTTTTGAAAAACTCTAAGCAGTGTTCAAGAAAATATTATAAGATTTAACCAGTCAAGCCAAAATCGCATGAAAAGATTTGAGGATATCTGTTGGTGGGGGGCCAATCATTTAATCAAGAAGATGCAAATCGTGCCTCAGATTAAGCAAGTATTGCAGCCAAAGTCCTCTACAGAGATTTGAAACAAAAACCTGTAGGGCATCAGTCAAGTAGGTTGCTTGTAATCCCATGATCATTTGGTCAGGATCGGTCCAAATATGTACAGTTTCATTAGCATCCAAATATCATCTTTGTGTCTTTTATTTCCGTCTTTTGGGTGCAATGTTATATAAATTGATTTTATTTTATATTTTTTTCTGCATTTATGTAAAATATCTGATATTAGTTTACTAATCTAATGATAGCCGAACATTTATCTTCTTGGAGTTTGATAAGATGAATGATTCATGGGTGCTATGTGAAAATTCTGCAGATTACGCCAATCTCTCTCCCCCTGCAAGGACTTGCTGAAGATCATGCTGGAGCCTCAATCGACCTGGTTGAGATTCCAAGAAATATTTTTGTTCTTTCATCAAAAGCCTGGATTTCCAACGCAAGAACAGTGACGTCTTATCTCAGTTATTTTCTTTATTTATGTATCATTGTCTGAAGTGTCGACAAGTTTAGGTTGATAAATGAGGTTTCTTCTGCTACAGTGGCTTATGGTATTATAGTCTTTCGGATTAACAACTCCAGTAGCCTCTCTCTCTCTCTCTCTCTCTCTCTCTCTCTCTCTCTCTCTCTCTCTCTCTCTCTCTCTCTCTCTCTCTCTCTCTCTCTCTATCTATCTATCTCTCACTCACTCACTTGTAAGCTCATGGATGGCATTGGAAGTGATGATGCAAACCTCGGTTGAATTATTGTTTAGTTTCTGTGAAAAAAATACCTTGTCATCACCATTCCAATCCTGGGTAGGACGGATAAATCTCATTGGTGAGTGTGTGAAGGAATGTGATCTGTTCATGTGTGCCCAGGCCATTACTTTCGGCTCCTATGGTATGTGCAATTTATGGGCTTGTCTCCTTCCCACTTGTCATCATCCCTAAGTCTTGAAACCCCACTCATTATGTCACAGTTGACCTACTGAGCAGCCCTCCCCCCAGAGCCCAGCTGCTGCTCCCTCAGGCTGGGCTTTGCTCTGTGGTCCTTGATCTGCCCTGGCAAGTCGCTGTCCCCCTACTGATGATGCGCCACTGGGCACCGCAGGAGGCAGCTGTGAAGTCCCTTTCCTCGTTCCCCAGCCATCGCCAAGGTGACACCAACCTCTTTGCCCCCTTTCCTTCTTTCTTTTTTTCCATTTTTGGCAAGTTTTACCAGGTGATTGTGCTCAGCCATCTCTTTCTAGCCCACTCGTTTGGATTTGTGGATTCTCGCGGACGCTCACTCCACCAGATGCATGCATCATTTCATGGTCCTCTCTATGATAATTTTCATCCTATCTTTGGTAAGTTCTACCAAAATTATTGGTCTCTCTACCTCTCTCTCTCTCTCTCTCTCTCTCTCTCTCTCTCTCTCTCACTCACTCTAGCTCTCTCTCGCTCTAGCTGTACTTATACTATGCTTACCCATCACTTCCTATCCCTGGCTGCTTATTCGACTGGAATCGTCATTTCTGCACTTTTACCGCTCCATGTCTCCTTCTTTCTAGCTCGCTCACTCTCTCTCGCTCTAGTTCTACTTGTATTATGCTCACCCATCACATCCCATCCCTCCTTATTCCACTGTAATCACGCCTTGATGCAGAGCAAAGTCAGAGATCATCAAACTTATCTCTCTCTCTCTCTCTCTCTCTCTCTACTTTGTTACATGTGTGGGATATTTCATGGATGTGTTTAGGTTTTGGTGGCTGTTAGAGAGCTGAAGGGCATTCATTGGAACAGTTCAGAAGCTCATGAGGAGATGAATTGGGGGCAATAAATGGGCGCAGTGAGTGTGCCCATGAATGCCGCCTCCTCCTCCTGCTGCCCGGTGGGCCCCGCTCTTCCATCTTCCACCATTTGACCGCATTTTCATCTTGATCCCCCGGAAGAGTAGCTAATTGGTGGGCTCCCCCGAGACGGCCGAAGTTCTGCTCTTTCTTTGGGGGTAGAATCGGAAATTCCCCCTGTTCCTGGGGGTACCCGTCAATTAGGTTTTTTCCACGGCAACTTTTTCTGAAAATGTCACCGAACGGTACAAAAGGAATAAGCCATCCACTTCTTCTCAGCTCATTCTCCATCTTCCATCTGTAGGCTTTATTGGGCCGGCCCACTCGGCCATGGTAAAGTCCCTGGTCCGGGCCCACCAACAATCTCGGCCTAGAGAGAGAGAGAGAAGAGCTAGACAGAGAGAGATGACGTATATAATTAATTTTTAGGTGATTTATCAGCGTAAATATATGAATTGAATTAATTTTAATGAGAATAATATCATCCAATCCTTTGTAGCCCCTGGCCTGGGCCCACCAACAATCTGGGTCTAGAGAGAGAGCTAGAGAGAGAGATATGACGTATATAATTAATTTTCGGTCAATTATTAGCGTAAAAATGTGAATTGATTTTATTTAATGGGAATAATGCCACCGAATCCTTTGCATTCTTGCTCAGTCGATATTCGCCGGAAGAGGAAGCTGACGTTGCCCGATGGGGCGCCTAATCGTGGTCCATTAGTCCCCTAAATCGGGCCCATTAACAGCCTGGCACCAGCCCAGCAAGGGAACGTATCCCTCGGGTGGCCCATTACTGGTCAGATCCACAAGTTCCGGGTGGGGCCTACTGAGTCACAATCCGGCTTAATTCCGGTCTGGGCCCATTGGACTCGACACGCTTTGGCCCGGGGGGAAAAAGCCCGGCAGAATATACCGGTCACGTCAACTGAATCGATAGGGCAGCGTTGCGGGTCACCTCTAAAACTAGCCGCCAAATTTTGACTCCTCCCGTCAACGCCAACATCAACGTCAAATACCTCCTCCTCCCTCCACTATGTTGGACCGCCCAGGCGCAGGAGCGTCTCCTTTTGACACTCTGAGCCTAAAAGTGGTACTATTTGCCACCAGTAAGAGAAGCCGGCGTTCGACCGTCGCAACGCCGGCGCCGTCCGCCCACTGCCACCGCCACCGCCACCGCCACCGCCACCGCCACCGCCGGCACCCACCCAACCGTCACCACGCTATAAGTTACACCCGCTCCCCCGAACCCATCTCTCTATCTAGGTCTCTCTCTCGATCGCTCTAGCTCAAGTTCTCTCGTTCTCTCTCTTGCTCTCGCTCTCTCACACGCTAGCTCTCTCCCTTGCTCCCTCTCGCTCGAACTCGATCTTTCTAGCTCTCTCTCTCTCTCTCGTTCTATTTTTATAGATCTCTCGCTCTAGCTCGTCCTTCTCTTCTCCTTGGAGCAAGATGGTGCAGGGGCTCCTCCTGGCGGCGGCGGTGCCGGCGCTGGCGCTGGCGCTGCCGGCGGCGGTCTTCCACCTGGTCCCCCCCCGGCCGGCTAGTGTCCCCATCAAGGGCCGCCACGTTTTCGTCACTGGCGGCTCCTACGGCATCGGCCTCGCCATCGCCAAGCGCGCCGCCGCGGAGGGCGCCGCCAAGGTCTCCCTCCTCGCCCGCGGCCTCGACAAGCTCGAGGCGGCGCGCGAGGAGATCCTCCGGGATACGAGTTGCAGGGAGGTGGCCATCTTCAGCGTCGACGTGAGGGAGGAGGGCGCCGTGAAGAGGGCGGTGGAGGCGGCGGGGCCCATCGACGTGCTGATCTGCAACCATGGGGTCTTCTTTCCCATCGAGCTGGAGAACCAGGACACCGAGGAGATCAAGTTAACCCTCGACGTGAACCTCATGGGTAACTTCCACCTCATCAAGGCGGCGCTCCCCACCATGAAGGCCGGCGCCTCCGCCTCCGCCCCCCGCTCCATCGCCATCATCTCCTCCCAAGCCGGCCAGGTGAGCGAGCACCCACTTCCTTCCTCCTTCCTCCTCGTTCTTTCTCTTTATTCCTCTCCGGAGGAGGGTCTGACGGCGGTGAGGACGTCGCAGGTGGGCATCTACGGCTACGCTGCCTACTCGGCGAGCAAGTTCGCGCTCCGGGGCCTCGCGGAGTCTCTGCAGCAGGAGCTCATCGGCCACAACGTCCACGTCTCCCTCGTCTTCCCTCCCGACACCGAGACCCCCGGCTTCGCCGAAGGTACCGTACCCCGCCACCTTCTCCCCCCACCTCTTCTCCTTCTAGTTCCTGGGTTGATCTGGTTCACCGGGTTCAGGTTATGATAACCGCGCACGAATGAATGGGTGGATGGTGTTCTTTGTGGTGGCAGAGGTGAAGAGGCGGCCGGAGGCCACGGCGGCGATAGCAAGCTCCTCCGGGGCGATGACGGCGGCGGCGGTGGCGGAGAAGGTCCTACGGGGGATAAAGGCGGCAGCTTTCACCGTCACCTGCAACTTCGAAGGTGTCATGCTGAGCCTGGCGACGGCGGGGATGTCCTCTCAGAGGTCCTGGGCCATGGCCCTCGCCGAGATCTTGGGCTCCGGCTTCATGAGGTTCCTGGGCATCTACTACCAGTACAGCTGGTACAGGACCATCGCCAGATGCCAGGGCAAGCAGAAGAGTGAGTGATCGAGATTTCTGAACCACCCACCCTCTCACACAATTCTCTCCAAATATTCAACGACTGTGATCGCTTATTTTTTGATGAATCCATAAACTTCGATTTCCTTCATTATTATTTCATAAATATGCTTTTATGACTGACAGGCTATTTATTCATCGAGTCAATGTTGATGGGCTGTCCATCTCTCTCTCTCTCTCTCTGTCAGAAAAAAAAAGATAAAAAAAGAGGGCCTATTTATAAGGGTCTTTCATACGTCATTTTTAATTAATAAAAAGGCTAATCATGATTGATTAATTAGTTAATTAAAAATCCAAGAAAAAGTAGTAGTAAACACGAGGGAAAATGTTTTATTTATTTTATAAAATGGTTTTTTTCTTTTGGGGGTTTAGGAGTTGGGTTGTGGAATTATGGTCTCCTTTTCTCCATATTATTTTGTTTTTCTATTTATCTCACTCACTTAATAGGAACATAAGGAGCCATAAATCACTCTAGTCGTCTATTTATCTAGGTTTTTTGGTAATAAAATGAGTAACCCACTTTCTCTCTCTACTTGCAGGGCTGTGAGCTCCCAAGCACAGCAGTGCCACGAAGACTCATTTCGATGAAGAGGGAACGGGGATTTTTCTTATGCTTATAAATATTTGGAAATCTCTTCTCAACAGAGATAAAAATGTTTATCATGCATTTTTTTTATCAAAAATAAAGGAAAATAAAGCTGAGAATCTCTCCTTTTGGGTCTCCTTCCTCATGTGATGAAGAGATGGACTGTCTCTGTGTGTGTAAGAGAGAGAGAGAGAGAGAGAGAGAGAGAGAGAGAGAGAGAGAGAGAGAGAGAGAGAATCAGTTGCCAACGCATTCGTCCTCGCTGCTCCCAATAAAAACGGGAGAATGCTCCTCCCTCGGCCTCTTCCCCAGGGTCCCCTCGCCCCCAGCGTACCCCCGGACGAGCCCAAGTATCCTGCCGCCATACCTCCCCGCCTTCAACTTCCCAATCAGCTTCTCCAGCTGCGACAATCAAACCCAGGAGAAATCATCACCCCCATAAATAGAAAAAACAAATCTTCCAATCAGCAAATAGAATATTAAACAAATAATAAATAATATTTCTGCTGGGGCGAAGAGAAAATAAATACATAAACCCTCTGATCAGGCTGTTGTTCACAGAGATGAACAGAGGGATTTGTAAAAAAATTTAAAAAAAGAGGAATTATTTATCTTGAAAAAATATAAAAAATGATAGAAAGAGTAAATATTTCCGTTCCACCTCTTCCGATGATGTGGGCTTTTGGGTGCTGATGGCGCGGATCTGCTGGGCGGATAGAACAGCGTGAGGGAAGATCTCACCCTGAGCAGAAGACGAAGAAGAAGAAGAAGAAATCACTCTCCTCAGCTCATCAAGCTTGGTCTCGAGACCCGGAGCAAAGCTGCTGGGCTGAGATGATCTTGTTCTAATGCTGCCGCCTGCCCGATCACCGGGCATCTCCAGGCTGACGGCCCTGGATCCTGGATGAGGCCGAGCCCAATTATGTAATTAATGTTTTCATTTTTTCTATCAGAAAAATATCTGGAGCCATAATTTACAATTCAGATCACAAAAAAATCAGGTTTTTTTTTTTTTTTTTTTTTTTTGAGCTGAGCTCTTTTTCTAAGATTGAATGCTGCTGAAGAGATTATACTCTCACCTTGCAAGACCTGCCTCCAGAGCGGTCCAAGCGTGACATAAGCATTTGTTGCATAGGCTGTATGCTGAAATTCTTCTCTCTATTTATAGGGAAAAAAATATAAAAAAAAGAAGATAAACTGAAATTAGACGGCCAACCGGATCAGATGAAACATCCAGAAAGATTGATGAGAAATGATAATCAGAACATTGATGGGTCGGGTTGAATCATACATCTTATGAACAAGATTTCTAGCCCTATATAAACAATTCACACATGTTTATTATACTAAGAGCCTATCTGTGATCTTAACATGAAGGAAGGAATCATTTCAGAGGCATTAAATCACTCGTCTGAAGGCGTTCCCCGCCACCCACCCCCAATTAGTGCCATAAGATCATTCTCAACCTGAATCGTTTCGAGGAAGTAGCTTACCAGAACATGGTCCACAATGAGCTGCACGATGACCTGCTCTAGATCTTCCTTTCTAAGTTCAGGAGTCTTCTGCCCTGAAGCACCTAGGAAAACAAAAAATTACTACATGATTTCGCCGTCTGATATAAAATAAAATTACAGGATCCGCGGAAAATAATGGAATTTTATACAATCTATTTCCAAAATAAGACAAAAGAGCCTTCACCAAACCAAAATAAAAAAATAGGAAGTACTAAATGATGAGCCTACATCGTTCCGAATATTATGAGCAATCAGAATTTTCTTGGGTAATTTAATGCCATCTTGGTACGGAAATTTTAACAGTTCCTTTTATAGATCATTGTCAGATCATCATACGCTACAATTCTGCTTGCCAATACCATGCTTTAGCAGCTAAAAAGAGGATATTTCTGCAATGCATCACTGCCATAGAACACATCGTTATCCACTTGGACATGGGAAACATGTTTTCACACCCATTCTCCCAATTGAATTTAAAAAAAACTCAGCAAAGAGGTCGAGGCCCCCCAGTTCGAGGACTTGAAAAAGTCGGTGAAAATAACAAAATATTTAAGTGATTATGATCTTACCAAGTTCCTTTATCTTGGCTTTCACCTTATCCACTAGCTGCAAAATTGTAGTTCTCTGGTCGTTTCCTTGCATTTCTTGCAATAGAGAGACGATGACTTTCGCATGATCTGAAGATTCAACACCAAACTTCAGAAGCATAGACAGTTCACCTTTCATATAATCCCTAACGCTGATAATCAGATGATGATTATCAATCCAACAATAAGCAACCTAATGCGATGAAACCTTGTAAAGTATCAACACCAAACAGCTCAAGCGACACTAACACTTTACACTAGTAGAGATTTTCAAAAAGAATAAGGGATCATTTCATGTGAAACAGGGTGTGGAGGGCTAATCGCATTTTATCATCACTGTAAGAGCCTCATCTCTCGGTTAGTTCAGTTCACAAAGTGACACAATACTCTCGCATATGGGTGAGAGAAAAACACTCGATCAACACCAACTCACTCGAAATGAATAGTTTTGAAAAACATTCAATCATCTTTCCATCAAAATAAGTGAAATCTAGCACTCCCACACCTTCCTTCCCCATCAGATGGATGACCAAAGTTTTGGACAAGCCACTCCAGATGGTCAGGAACTTGACAACTAGACAACCTGACAAAATCAATTATAGACCTGAGTATAGTGTCGTAATTTCATCACCTTCTCCGAGAACATAATCTTCTACGACACTCGAATTTCCTGCAAACATGTCATATCTGGTGTTTTTCTACATTCCATTTCATTTTCATCAGTTTCACACTATTTCTGAGAACGAATATGTCTCAGAACAACTGGTACATCCTTTACAGTTGGGTAGGCCGAAACATATGTGCTGGTGTGCAAACCCATCAACCTACTAGCAATGGGGGAGAAAACATAGCATGTCATAACAAAAGTCTCAATCCGAGGCGTTCGCAAAACAGAGCCGTTTGTTCCAAAAACATATCCGCCTTTGCGCCTCAGGACAGAGCTAATGCTCCTTGATAAGCCTTTTGTTTATAACCCTAGCTAACTTCTTGTCTTCCGGTTTAGCTTGACATACATTTTAGGACACGACTATTTCTTGGGTTATGATCTTAGATGCTTACTGAAACTCCTGATTAACAATTAGTTGTGGTCGAAACTTTGAAGAAGAGGGGAAGCGAATCATGACAGGATAGAAATCATTTAAAAATAAAAATCCTAAAAATTGTACCAAGGAGGTCAGAGAAACTTCATCATACAAGTGCAGTCTATTTCCTTTGCTTCATTTCCATTTGCACAGTTGTCGCACATCCCTGTGCACAGAAGGCAGGAATTTGTAAGTGACTGATGCACCTTTCTATTGATGGACTAATGTAAGAGCGTGAGAACGAGGCAGTAAGAAGCTACCATTGCAATCCTTCAATGGCTCTCCAAAGTGATGAAAGAATGCATTTCTCCGACAGCTTCTTCTGGACTGTAATGGAAAGAAACACTAACCTTATGACATATTCAACTTATACACACAATGGTTAAATTTCTTACGAAAACACTTTTTAGGAAAATTTATTGGCCGTAATTTAATATTTCACTTCCCTAGGGACGTAGGTTGATGTGATGAAAGGTCAAATTTAGATAGCTGTATCATGAAACGAAATCTACACACAAGAAAACTTGTTGAAATAAACTCCGTCTAATAGATAATAATGGACCAGTTCATAAAGACAACTGAATCAATGAACTAAATCCGAAATCCAACCCAAAGGCAGGCACCAATTTGGCTGAAAAATATAGAACTAGGCCTTTGTGCACGCTGTGAAGTTGTATGTGCAGATGTTTCTAGATGAAAAGCGAAAAAGCATCAAACAAATGATCACTTCTCAATTAAGCGTGGGATCATCAAGAAAATGTCGAGATCCTATTAAGATAGAACAAGAGCAGGGAGAAACAGCGAAGGACTAGTCACCGATGAATTCAGACGATGGCACTACAGCATCACATACCAAAAACCTTCCATTAACAGAAGACGACAAATGAAGGGAAAGTGGAGAAATTTCCGGGAACAATTTTATTTTTTTTCATATTTCAGGAATTGACAAGGAAAGAAACGTGGACATGAAATTCAGGAAAGTACCTAAGATACTTCCATCGGATAAAACCTTAATTCAAGGGGAAATTTAAGGCCTTACACAGAGCAGAGAAAAGTTCATAAATTAGAAATATATTTCATGACTAAAGAGCAGTTATGTTGCTTTGCTAGGAGACACACGAGAGTCTGGGCGTCGGGAAGAGCACAATTTTTTCACCACAAGATAAATAGAAAACTACCATAGCGTACAATTTTCTCACATGGCGATATGACATTTAAGTTACCTGACAATAGCGTACAATGTCGTAGAGATTTTGCAAGCCAGAATTCTCATAGAAAACCATAGAACTCTGAGGGGAGGGGAACATCATCTTAGAACGATCAACAAAAAAGGTCCCTGAGCACTTGAATGATAATGATAATGGATGGAAGTGTTTACCTGCCTAGAGACATCGGCAGGTCTATAATACAATACACAGTCTGAAGGGAGCCCATCTCGACCAGCTCGACCACTCTCCTGGGTTTTTTTTTCGCATAATTATGAAAGTTTATTTCATAACAAAGGTATAGGAAGTCAGGACAGAGAAAAAAATCATTCTAGATATGTAATGGAGACCAAAAACATGAATGGTTATCAAAAGATATTCACTAAAAACAGAGAACGAAGTGAGAGATGCCACCTGATAATATGTCTCCATTGATTTACTGAGACTATGATGGATGACAAACCTGACTAAAAACGTAAATTTTCAATTAATCAGAAGGCAATAATGATTGGATTTTATCAAAGTAATATATTGACCCATAGAAATTCAAAAGGCATATTATTTTCTTTCTGTACGCCCTATAGCACATGAGATCCGAAAGCTCAGTAAGCTCTGGAAAATATAGAAAGAAGAATAGAAGCTAGGAAATCATTCTACAACTGCCTTGATAGAGAAGGAAACGCGGTGATGGGTCATCGTTCAGAAAAGAGGATCACCCTTTTTTTTTTTTTTTTGAGAAGTCATTCCTGCTTTGAATCAGCATAAATAGCATGTTATTAATTCAAAAAATCACAACAATCCAGTCCAACCAAGTTGTTGGATCCCCTAGCCCACTTACATCAACATAAGCAACTCTAGCTCTCCACAACAACCTGTCCATCTACTTAAGTGGCATGCTCATGAATTTCTTGCTCCCTCCCCCCTGTAATCCTAGAGTCCTAATGAATGAAAACACCCATGTGGATTCCGACTGAGTAGGGAGTCTCTTTAAAATCCTCAATCTTGAAAGCTCCAATGAAAAAATCCAAGAGTTGAACTACCGTAGTAATTTCGGGGACTTCTTTCATCACAATGGTAAATACCTTAATATTTTATCGTAGTTTATGAACTCCATGCCAAACCAAGAGAAAACAAATTACTCAATTATCTGGCAAAAACAAAAGCCAAGCAATTCTGACAGGTCACCAAAGATAAAAAATAATACCTTCAGTATTATATCAGGATAATCTACGCTTCTCAAAATCCCAGATACAAAGAAGAGAGATAAACGACAACAAAATCTTTAAAATTCTGACATCGATGGATTAAGTGCAGCAAATGGAATACGCACCATCTGGTTTATTAATTCCCATGCCAAATGCCACCTACAATAACCCAACAATTCATCAGATCCTAACCTCATGCATTTAGTAGAAAATTGGGGGCCATTGGGATACATACCGTGCCGACAATTACCTGTAATTTGTTGCTGCTCCAACTGTCCAGGAGAACAAGAAGACTGGTGTCAATCTAGCTCCCAAAAAAATAATATGATTTCATAATATTGAAAAAATATAAATCGTCTATTTATTTGGATATCAATAAAAAGAAATGGGATATAACCTAAAAAAATGTGCAAAATAATAGGTTAAAAATGTTATAGTGCCAAAAGCACCGTCTAAATATAAAAAGTTAAGCTTTCCCATCCCAAAACTTGCTAAAGACACCAGTTCTCATCTCCAGAAAAACTCATGAAAATAGTCAGCAAAAATAAGTAATTTATAAGGCACAATTGGCTGCTTAACAACATGATATTGCATTGTGATACCCGTGGGAAGTATTAAAAAATGTTTTTTTTCATTTCAAACATTAGTACTTGAATACCAAAGCAATACTTTTGCTATTTATGTGTTACTCTAGACAATATTCTAAAAGATAACACATCCACCGATGTTCCACTTGACGAATACAAACCAGAAGCATGGGAAAGAAAGATCTCTCATGCCGCCAGTCATCATTAGAAACCGAGCATACCGCGTATGAACCCTTTCACGGGCACCATCATGCATATCAGCGTGGTAGTAGTCAGCCAAAATTCCTCGTTCACGCAACTCTTTGGCCACCTAAATTTCAGTAAGCGTGAGAGAGAAAAGTTGGAAAGAGATTATAGACATTTAATAAGATCGCAACCGTCACACAACAAACAGGTCCTATGATGAGAAAGTTCCCTCTTATAGTCATTTTAAATTTGTTTGACGTTCAAATTTTAGGCTCCCAATTAACCGATTTTCGGCCTATTTAAAGGCCCCTCATCTAGCCAAAGAGACATTAAATAAGATCTACGAATTTCTTCTTCCTCTGAGGTCCTCTTCATCTGCTGGTGGATTCCAGCGACCCCTGTGGATTCAGGAAACCCTTTTGATCCTGTGGTACCCAGGATCAACCCCTTGTGGATTCAAGGGTCGAAGTTTCTACGTTTTGTGGATTCAAGATGAAGAAACCTCATCAAAATCATGTTTTTTCAAAGATTCAAGAATGTGATACAAACTCCTCTGTCCTCAGGCTGCATCAACTCCATTAAATTATCATCCTCTAAATGTACACTGCGCCACAACCCCTCAGCGTGAGAGAAAACTTTTAAATTTCAACCATGGACCATAGTTCTCTGTTTTACCATTCATTCTTAAAAGGCAATCGCTCTCCCTCCTTGGAGCTTTCATTCTCCCCATAAAAACTGAAGGATATCAATAGAGCCTCATCTTAGGTTCCTTGTTGATAATTTTCAGTTTCCATTTCAGTACGCTACTAATAGAGCACAAGAAAGGCTTGTAAATAGCTTATGAAGAAACCATGGTAAGCATTTACTTCAATTCAATAACATAAACAATAATGCAGTGTCCAGCATAACGAATTTTAAGAAAGAAATCATACAACATGATGGAACTGTACATCTTCAAGAGTTGATGTTCAATATAAATCTAAGGACTTGTATAGAACCTGCTCGCATTCCTTCCTTGAAAAGCAATACACAATTCCAGACTCTTTGTTGGGGTACGAACTTTGTATGAATTCTGCGATTTCATCAATGACCACCTTTCCAACTGATGACTTTCCACTGACCTTGTGACAGAGGAGACTGACCATAATATCATTTCTTACTATTTATCGTCAGTTGATCTCAAACCAAATCTGAGTATAGACGAAATACCTTGTAAAACAAATTTGGCCGATTAATTGTGCTTAGGAACTTAACACATTTCGGAATGTGAAGCATCTCCATCAGATCTAACTGTACCTTCTGAGTAGCAGTCGCCTAGGGCAAAAAACCTTTAACATGTCAGTGATCACTTGAGTAAACTATACAAAGATTATTTCCGCAGGAACATACAGTTAGTGCAATTAAGGGAACTTTAGGGAACTGAGTCTTCAAGATGCCAAGGTTCTTGTAGTCAGGTCGAAAATCATGTCCCCACTGGCTACAACAATGAGCCTCCTGCAAAAAATACTTATCATGTATTGCTTCAAAAGGCATTTATATCCCTTCATCTACTAGCCAAAATTCAAGCATTTTATCGAATTACTTCTAAACGGCACACACTGAACACCATACACCTAAAAAAAGGAACTGATTTCCGAGTTCAGATCTTCAGGAACGAAATAAATCTTGCATTAGTTACTGTATACTACCCAGAAATGGCCTGGAGGATCTGTTCTCCGTGTAATGTTCCATTTTGAAATTCCATAATGGTATCTTCCCTTGCTAAAGCCCAAAGAATTTATGCCCCAAACGTTCAGACCCACCCAGAGAACAGCACAATGTTGACAGCTTTGTGTTTAACCCCTCCCACACCACCTTTCGCATTTCTTTTGCAAACTCTGACCTATTTAACATGATCCTGATCTGCTTAACTGTATTCGAAATATTCCCCAAGAAAGAATGTTCAACGGCTTCAATTCTTTCTCTCCCAACCTCGAAGAGCTAAAATTTTCAGAGGAAACAGATGGCTAGGCGCACAGATTAAGAGAATACATTCGGCCATGTAGAATGGCTTCAAGGATTCAACCCTTTTGAGCTTTGATTCAACTTTCTACAATAGGTCCTTAATAAATTATCCTGTCAATGGTGTGCAAGTTGGACAGTCTTCTGACCAACCACTTACATGATGATCCCAACTAACTCATAAAGCTTATTTCAAACTGTACATTTTGCTTCCAAATCCCATGAATACAGTTAGATTGAAAATTATAAGTTTGCTTGTATCTTTGATGACTCCGGATGATAACCAATGCCTCTATCAGTCCGCGGGAACATCTGATTTGGCCAATCCATTCCCTATTAGAAACAAATTTCATGCCGTACCCCTTACAAAGTGTTTACCAATGGTCTTCAATCAACCGAGATTAGCTGCTAAAATTTCATACTCGAATAAGAATTAAAATGAAAAACTGATGTCAAGTTAAGATAATTTGAAGTTTGATACAGTGGCATATGATCTCCTCTGTACGCAATCATTATCAAATGAATGAAAGGAACGAATTAACCTGTCCAGGATCCAACCGCAAAACTTCAGAAATTTCGTATTCAGGTTGGATCAATTAAGTAAGAGCATACTTACAAGGTTCATAATCAAAATTCAAGAATATTATAAAAAATATTTACTTACATCAATGGATATCAGTGAAAGACGACCAGCATGGTTGCACTTTTCAAGCTTTGACATAAATCTTTTACTCTTGGATATTTTTTCTGGAGTTACATACAGAATCTTAAGATTCCCCTCTCCTTTTTCAAGTGTCTTGTATACTGATCTTTCATTCTCCTTACTAGTAGTTGAAGTCAGCATGCATGCATGGATGCCTATTGCAGTCAGCGCCATCACCTTAAAAATAGAGGCATCCATTGTTTAAAATAAGCTACATATAAGAAACTCACTGATCCAGAAGGAAATCATGAGCACCTGATCCTGTATGAGAGAAAGCAAGGGGCTGACAACAAGGGCCACACCTTCACGAAGAACAGCAGGGAGTTGGTAGCAAAGGCTCTTGCCACCACCTGCAGCCATTATAACAAGGACATCTCTCCCGCTCATCACAGCATTTACGATCTGACACGATGAAATATCCATTATTAAAAACTATTCCCGCACAAAAATAGCATAGTCACAAAAAATTTATTAGAGACCACTAATTCTAAGTTATTCCTGAATGGCAACCGTCTCAAATTGGGTTGAATGAGATCAATCAAGTCAGCTCGATGTACTTTTGTTTCCCACAGTTTAATGAGTTTGTATGGCCTTTTATCTTGAGCTCCTGAGATATGAATTGATCTAAATAGGCTGTTTTAGATAAAAAAATGTCACCAAACCATGCTCCCAAACCTATATTATACTGCATATTCCAACCAGCATAGGGAATACGTTTGATTTTTCTTGAACATTGATTATACTGCATATTCATTATTAAAAAATAAGAATAGGAATAGTCACAGACGTCTACGATCAGCATCCAAAAAAGGCAAACTACCTGATACAACAGCGAAAGACATAAACGAAGGGTATATGAAACTCTACAGATACGGAGCTCCCAAAAAAGGAAGTGTTACATCATTCATCTTGGCACAGCAACCTTGTCCACTCTTTCACTCATTGCCATCACGAAGCCATCAATTTCCCAGAGGTTCAATGGAAGGGCTTCTGGGTAAAGTCATTCCCTAGTCGAAAGCCATTATGTTGTTCCATAGTTTCCTTTAAATCTATGTCGACTGAAATGACAATTTTGCTAAACAGCATTTCAAGATTCGTCAAGTAGTTTACATTTAAACAAAAAGGATTGAATTGGAGGGAAAGTCACCACCGAGAACATCAACATCAATTCAAGATAAAGGAGCGGAACAGTAAGGAGAATTAGAACCACCAACCTCCCTCTGATTTGCTCGGTATTTTGAGATACCAAAGATATTGAGTTTGATATCATCAGCTCGAGAGTCCCATTCAAAAGACCCAGACCAATCTTCCACACCCACTGGAAGGTTGTCATTTGCGTAGTTTTCAGATGCTCTGAATGCTTCAAGCAGTGCCTTCAGGTCAGATTGTTTCTCATGCAATTGCTGTTGCCTATCAAGTAGCACCCTTATCTGATCTGAAAAAGGAAGCAGACACAGAAACCCAGTGAGTTATTTCCTTTCAGATCTAGACTGATGATCAAAACTGAACCAAAAGTATAAATTGCAGTAGATTGTCTTGTTAAATACACAATGGTCTCGACTTTGTCAACAGTATTCCTCACATAGCATTAGAACCAAGATTCATACTGTAGAAATCAACTCAAGGCTATGAACAACAGACACCAAGATGCTCTATAACAAGGGGTCATTATCTGCTGGATTTCCCGAAGTTATTCCTTAACTTCCAGAAATTATGGCTGGAGGAAACACCCCGTCGCAGGTTATGGATTAACTGCATCATTTCTCAGGCTTTTAGCATCGATTTTTTTTCGTTATTGCTCGAAAAATTAAAACGAACCAGACAAACTAAATCACCTAAGATACTCTAAGCATTCCTTGTTGCTTGTCGCCATAACAAGCACAGCTCTTCATGCGTCCTCCAACAACAAGAGCAGCGAAGGCGCCTGCTGGGATCAAACCCGCACCATTCTCGTCCTTCTTATAGAAAAAAATGTTCAGATGAAATCCAGAGAAGAAATAATGGCCACAGAAGCAGCGGAGCATCCCTCCTCGCCACATTTTTCACCTCACCTGACCTCCTCCGAGAGAAAAGAAGACGTCTCGCTACGGATGTACTACGATGACCACCCAGAAGCCAAATTAAACAGTACCGGAGGGAAGAAGGACTCGCCAGGAGCCGAAGATCCCCGATCTTCCCGTCGCTCCCAGAGAAAGCAAGAGCGGCAAAGGAAAAGAGGAAGAAAGACGAAAGAGAAGCGGAAGAGCTCACCTTCGACCTCTTCCAGCTCCGCCGCCACGCAGAGAAGCTCCTGCTCAACATCCGTCTCCATGGCGGGGTGGTCACTCCCCCCTCCTGCGCCTCTCTCTCTCTCTGTCTCTCTAAAAAAAATCAAACACAACCCACTAAAAACCTCGCTTCCCGTCCTCTCTAGAGAGAGAAATAAAAAAAATTAACGTTTGCATTATAAAATTTAGAAAACTAGATAATACATTAAATAAAAAGTGGCACGTGGCATGTGGTCCGATCGTACCTCAGTCTCACGTGGCATGGCAGTTGCGACTTTGACCTGTGGCTACTAACACCTCAGAACCGAACTGATGTTTATTAAAAGATATTTAATTAATTCTAAATTACTGCTGACCGTATAAGCCGCAGGAAACTCTATATTTACACTATTTTGTTAACGTTGATTATTACTATTTATTCTTATTTATTTATATTTACAGAAAAACCCCCCGGTGACGAAATGATCTGAACGACGTGGACGAAATAGAGAGAGAGAGAGAGACGCTCCTTCGAGCTCGCTCTTTTTATCTGCGCTGCCTTTTTAGGGAGTTAAATAAAAACAAGTAAACGAGGAATAACTAAAAAAAATGACTATAAATACGGCACCAAGTGGGGGTCGGAGAGAGAGGTATCCCCGCGATGCCGTCGACGACCGTGAAGATGCCTTCGCGGGTGCCGCCGCTTGGAGGGGCGGTCCTGCTCAGCGCAGCGGCGGCCATGGCGGAGGTCAGCACCGCCGGCCGTGGGGCGCCGCCGGGAGCCTCCGCCGAGTCCTGTTCGCGCTACGACGACGACGGCGGCGACGGCGATGGGGACGAGTCGGAGACAGCCCGATCGGAGGATTGCAGCGGAGGGGAGGGGAGGAAGAGGAAGAGGCGGAGGAAGGAGGTGAAGGGGAAGAAGGTTGCGTGATCATTGGGATCAGAGCTTGATCGGGGTTTTTCTTCCTTGTCTCCTTCCTTACTGGAGTCCAATGTTGATGGAGACGTCGGCGCTGACCTTGTTGTTCGTTCGTGTTTGCGATCTCGTCAGGTTTCCGCGACCTCGTGCCATCAGTGCCGGCAAAGCCATAGGGACCGGAGAGTGGTGCACTGCGGCAAGTGCAAGAGACGACGTTATTGCGTCGAATGCATACGTCAGTGGTACTATAAGACGTGCCCTTTCTTTTATCGCTTTTTTTTTTCCCCTGCGTTCTTTTTATTTTTGTGTCTGTGTGTTCTAATTGTTCGATGCATTGCGTATAATGAGGTTCTCCGGAGATAATCCTTTCGTTGTTTCCTGTCCTCGGGCAGTCTTTTTCTTGGGTGCTATTTCTTTCCAAACTAAGACTCTACTTCGGGATCTTGTTATTCAGTTTGTTCTTGTGTCTCAATTTCAGGTATCCCCGCCAGTCTGAGGCCGTGATCGCTGAGGCTTGCCCATTCTGCCGTGGGAACTGTAACTGCACCAGTTGTCTGAGGAACAGCAGACAGATAAAGGTCAGAAATTTCTACTTGTCTCACGATGCTTTGACACAAATGTAGACGCTTTCTTTATCTGGCTGCGGCTGGCTACGTCTTGACTGTTTTCCCTCGTTGCTTTCTCGCATAACATTCAGAAAACGACATAGTTCGTTTTGTAAGGATGGAGATTGCGTGACTGACTATCCTCTAAGGAAGCCTTAATTCACTCTATGTGCAGAATCGATGGGATGATATTAACCGTACACTGAAGATCAAGTATAATCGCTATCTCTTGCATTGTCTGTTGCCGATCTTGAGAAAACTTTGTGAGGAGCAGGCAGCAGAGAAGATGGTCGAGGCTAGGATTCGAGGTACATGTTATTCCAAGTGCAGTAGAGGCTTCTTCATCTTGATTCATCTGCCTGCCAAGATATGTAACTTGTTGGCTTTTACGATCGTTTGATGTTCAGGACCATCCGCATTCAGTCTGAAAATGAAGGCCAGCAGTTCTGTTGGTGAACGTGTTTTCTGGTTTGACCTCTTTCATTCCTCCTCTGTTAATTTCACATTATGGTACACATTTCTAGTAATCTAAAAGTTAGATATTTGGCTTTAATTATTTAAACACTCGTCTCTATGCAGTAACAACTGCAGAACTTCGATTGCTGATCTGCATAGGAGCTGCCCTATGTGCTCATACGAACTCTGTTTAAGCTGCTGCCGTGAGATTCGGGAAGGTAACTTGCGAGGAAACTGCAGAATTGCTACCTTGAATTACCCCAATAGAGGTGTTTCATACATGCACGGAGAAGAAGACGCTGTACCAAAGGCTATTCAAGGCGATGGAGCTGTGAGACTGAATACTAGGGTGGATGTAGGAGACCAGCTTCAGAAGCATCCAGTTTGGAAAGCTTATGATAATGGGGGTATTCCCTGCCCTCCTGAAGAACTCGGTGGCTGTGGCAGATGCCTTCTGGAGCTTAAGCATCTGTGTCCAGATAATTGGGTGGCAAAACTGCGGGCAAAAGCAGAGGAGATTGACAGGGTTTATAATCATCCAGAAGTTGCTTCTAGTGCCAGAGACAAGAAGTGTTGTTATCCGGACAATAGCTCTAACAATTCAAGGAAGGCAGCTTCCAGGTCTGATTCAGAGGACAACTATTTATACTGTCCACATTCCACTGATATAACTGCAGAGAGCCTGGAGCACTTCCAGAGACACTGGGCCAGAGGAGAGCCTATAATTGTTCGTGGTATCCTTGAAGCTACTACCGGTCTGAGCTGGGAGCCAATGGTCATGTGGCGTATATTCCGAGGGAACAAAGTATCCAAGTTATCCCAAGTAAAAGCCATTGATTGCCTGTCTTGCTGTGAGGTTGGTTATCTCATTTCCCACATTTAAAGTTTTCAAACCGGGGATACCTCATGAATACTGAGTCCAATTGCACGATGTGAGGTTTTTATCCACATGATTTATATATTTTCATCGTATTTGAGAAGATCGGTTCGTGGTCAACTCGACCACGTAGAACAGAAGTATGCTGATTAATGGGTTGAGGTGACCAGACTACAAGAAAAGTTAGGACTTGAAATACTACCTTAGATTGCTGCCAGACTTAATTCTCGATGTAATGCCTCGCGAAACAAAGTTGGAGACTACTAAGGTCACGACGCACTGGTTATAAAAACAGCAAGCACTCAATCCTTTTTTTTTTTTTCTAAAATTATTCGTAGAACATGGTATATGGTTTGGTCGAGTCTGGGAGTCCTATCAGAGTCCTAATATTAGTTACTCCCATAGGCGGAAGATTGTTAAGAGAAACGTTGTGTGATGCTATGTTGTGTGCATCCTACTCATTGGAACAAGATCATCAAAGTTTGAAGTTGCAATACATTGAATCCCACTCTGTCACTGTATGACTGTTGTAGCCCATCAAGCTTTCAAGCATTAAGGATGCTACGTTTCCTCTTTTCTTTAGGAGGGTCTGTTGCAGTCACTGTTCAAGCACCGTGGGATACTCATCTGTCATCTCTAGTTGTCTGGTATGATAGCTATTGAAGAACCATATGCCATCAGCTGTGACCTCTGAAAATATTTTATATGAAATATGTTGTGGCATATTTCTCACATTAAATGGAGTAGTTAATATGGGCATTTGTAGATTTCAGCTTTACTGTGATGGTTATTTATCTTCTTTTCTTTTTTTTCCAAACATATATAGGTTGAAATCAGTGGCCAAGATTTTTTCAGAGGTTATGTGGAGGGACGAATGTACAGAAATCTGTGGCCAGAGATGCTCAAGCTAAAGGATTGGCCGCCATTTGATCATTTTGAAGAGGTTCTGCCGCGCCATGCTGATGAATTTATCAGTGCTCTTCCATTCAGCGAGTACACAGACCCAAGATCAGGCCCCTTGAACATTGCCGTGAAGCTCCCCAAAGAGGCCGTAAGACCTGATCTGGGCCCCAAGACCTACATTGCATACGGCATAATCGAAGAACTTGGAAGGGGTGATTCAGTCACCAAGCTTCACTGCGACGTCTCCGATGCGGTACTCCTCCTTTACCCCGCAAGTGTCTTCTTCTTATTCCTCAAGTAGCCATTCAACACCCCTCTTAGCAAGAAATGCTCTGCTTTCCCCAACAATATGCCATGGATTTCCCCTTAGGTTCCTCCTCCTTTTCTTGTCTCCCCTTTCTTCATTGGTGTCAGCCCTCACTTGCTACCTGTCCTGTGAACCCTGCAATCATCAGTTCTTGCCCATTTCCGGGAATTAAACGATTTTTTTTCTTATGATTTTTCTCTCAGGTGAACGTCTTGATGCACACATCAGAGGTATCATTAACTGCGCAGCAGGTTTCAGCTGTGAGGGAGCTGAAGCAGAAGCACAGAGATCAGAAGAGAAGGGAGCTCGGGGAAGGCATGGGGGCCAGAGGAGAGAGCTCTTCCCACGCCTGCTCCTTGGAAGAGCTTGCGGAGGAGTCTGGTGGGGCGCTGTGGGACATCTTCCGCAGAGAAGATGTTCCTAAGCTGCAGGCTTACCTTGAGAGGCATTCGAGGGAATTCAGGCACATTTACTGCTCCCCAGTTAATCAGGTCGAGGGTCTCTTCATCCCCATCAGCAGCTCACTTTGGACCCTGCAACGCTCACTCTTCTCCTCTGAACCTTTTTTTTTTTTTTTTCTTTTTTTGGTATCGTACAGATCTTCAATCCTGTCCATGATGAAACCTTCTATTTGACCATGGAGCACAAGAGAAGGCTCAAGGAGGAATTTGGTCAGCCCAGCCTCGGAATGCGCTTTTTTTTTTCTTTTTTCTTTTAAATATTTCATTCGCAGATTTTTTGTATTATGTCCATGGTCAGTCGTAGATTATATGATTCTTCTTTGATCGCTGTGGCATTCTTGCAGGGATTGAACCCTGGTCGTTTCAGCAGAAGCTCGGAGAGGCGGTCTTCATCCCCGTGGGATGCCCTCATCAAGTGAGAAACCTCAAGGTATTTATCATGTTTGACTTTCTTTTTTTTTGGGTCTTTCGGGTAAGTCCCCGTGAACTTTGGGGATGACGACCTATGAATCATATAGATATTTATTTTTTTTCTTTGAAGAAAATTTGAAGTCAACTCTGATCTGCCTGCTATCTTCTTTGGGAAACAGTCGTGCACAAAGGTCGCCCTCGACTTCGTCTCCCCTGAGAACATCGATGAATGCATACGGATCACCAACGAATTCAGATTGCTCCCCAGGAATCACAGGTCGAAGGAAGACAAGATCGAGGTAGGATGATCCGGTTGTATTGCCTTTTTTAGACTATCCTTACTCTAGCTAGAGCTAGAGAGAGAGAGAGAGGATGCATTTGCTGCTGCTGTTAATCACAACTGATGAATTTGTTTCCAACGAAACAGGTGAAGAAGATGGCCCTCCACGCCATCAATCACGCAGTGAGGGATTTGCGCCAGCTGACGGCCGGCGATCAGTGAGCTCCCCCCCCTCCCCCCCCCTCTGAGACAGACCGCACTATTTACATGGGCGCCGAGGCCATGGAGCGAGAGCGCGTGTTCTTCGTGCGGGTGCCGAAGATCGCCCGCCGCTCTGAGTCCGATTTTAGGGTAAGAACCCACCCCTTCACTCGCTCTCTCCCCCTTCCTTTGCGTTTCTGGTTAAGCAGATGGGGAGGGGCCTGTTCTTCCTTCTGCAGACGGAGGAACTTTTGCTCCTAGTGAGAGAAGATACTCGGGAGTGGCGGCGGCGGGTGCTGGAAGGGAAAGGTGGGGGCAGCTGTTGCAGATGGTTGGGTCCTCTTTTTCATTCCATTTTTGTTCCTGTGGATGGCCATTTTTTGTAAGCCCACGGGGATCTCTGTCTCCCCCGATCTTTGAACGATGATTTCATCATCTGGGTTCTCTCTCTCTCTCTCTCTCTCTCTCCCTCCAAGGGGGTTCGAATTGGGGCATCATTTATGTGACCGGCTCAGGCTATCAAGATAAGAATCGCATGATTACAATCTGGGGAAGAAAAGAAAAAAAAGAAAAATCTGAATCAGCTATTGAGCAACCCTCGCCAACCTTGCCAAAAACGAGGACAGATAGTCCTGAGCCTCTCCGATCCACCGCTGCCCCGACGCCGCCATGCCACCTACCAGCCGCCGGTGCTCCGCCGAGGCCTCCTCCGACAAGGGCTCAAGGAACTCACAGTTGCTGAGAATCTCCGGCGGCGGGGCGCCGCCAACCAGATTTGTGTCAAGCTCGGGTTGCCCCTTGCCGACTCGTTGAGGGGGCATGCAGAGAGGACCCTCCAGACTCAACGGTGACGCCCCGGGGACGACTCCCTGCTGGTAGGGGAGGGCCCTCGCCGCCTGCAGGCAGAATTCCATCCACTGGTGGACCATCGGCGAGGGGCCTCTCACCCGGCCGCCGACTTTCTCCGTCGGAAATCTGCCCGCCGCCGGGATCGCCTGGAAGGGGAAAGAGATGCTCCAGATGAACAAAAGTCAATTCAACAAATTGGGTTGACCCAAAAAGAGAGTTCGTATTCCCGGTGAATTGTTTAGGAATGAATCTCTGGTTGGCGGCCGCTGGTAACTCAAGAACAATAAACAAAATTTCTTTTCCAAAAAGAAAAAAAGCCGATTGTCAAATGCCCCTTCAGGTCAAAATAAAAAAATTCTCAGGATCGCCGATTAGAAGGTAAAAGAAATCCAAGAACAGTAAATAAAATAAAATAAAATAAAATAAAAAATAGTTTGATTGTAGGTACTAGGAGAGATACTAGGAGCATGAGAGTGCAGGAACATGTACCCATAGGTCTGCCCATAGGCTGGATCCAGACTTGGGGACGATCACAGAGACACCGGACTGCCGCCTGGCGATGGGGAGGATGTCGCTGCTCCACCCAACTGCGACCCAGGCGTCGGCCGTGGCAAAGGCCTTGAGGTAGTTGGCACTGTCAAATAGCCGGACCTGCCAAGGAGGAGCAGCTGAGGATGAAATCAAGGGCCCATTTCGAGAAATAAGAGCGCTGACCAGCGGGGCCCGAAGAACACTAGACATTAATCATGCAGCACCTGTCTCTGAAGCGCAGCCAATCTCTGTGTGACAGCGTTCATCCCACCAGGAACCTGGAGGTCTATGTTCTTTGTATTGTATGAGGCCCCCATTGACTTTAAGACTGCACCGACGACCTCCCTTGGGGAGTCAACCATGACCACCTTTCCTCGGAGTTCTCCTCTCCACAGATCATCCCAATCCTGGGGAAGAAACTTTACTCGCATAAATTCAAGTGATCTAGGTGATCTTTCGGATTATATCAAATAAACGGCATGGTTAACCTTGATGGGAGCCAGATTGTGCTTCCTGAATTTGTTTTTCTTGTAGGCGATCACCATGCATCCCCAGCGATATGGAACGGCCCAGATCTTCCCAGAATCATCTATCTCACCTTTGTCGTTCCTGCACAGATAAACCTAAATGGATTTCAGAGAAATTATAACATTGCATGAGAGCTTCTATGAAGTTTTTAATATATTTTTTTTCATAGAAAAAAAAAATGCACGCTCACAGCTTGCCCACAGATGAACTTTCTTGAGAATAATGCCCAAGATCCAAGAAGTAAGTGACAAGCTTTGTTCTTGGTTATAGAACATGGGGGGCCCATTAAGGTCAATCCTCTGACCAACTTCCTCGTATAAAGTCTCAGTTAAAAGCTGCGTTTCATCTTGAAGTTGATTCATCTAATACCGGCATTTGTCACTGATGGCGGGATTAGAAATCAAACCAGTTGACGGTGCACACATGGATAGAACACAGAAATGTGGCATATGATGAAGAAGGATATATAGTTAACGAACTCTCAAGAACTTTCCATTAAGAAACATGAAAATCATCCCCTCAATCATATTCCTCGTTCAATCAGATATACAGAGTTCCAGAAAAAAATGAAGTTTGGGTTGGATAATGTACATGCTGTGGACCAGCTCGTTTTTCAATCAGATGAATGTCTCAACTTGATGAAATTCCAACAGGAGGGAATGGATTGCGGATGGCTCACTCATGCTAGTCTTTTTAATTTTTTAATAAATAAAAAAAATAGCCTGACGAGTTGTCAGGTGCCATTGGGGTATGGATGGGCTGTTTTTTTACCTTCCATTTGCTGCTCAAGTTTTGAAACCAATCGTGTTCTTCTGCTCCTTGTATGGGCTCGATCAACCTCTCAGTAATAGCGTAAGTTAGCCAAGAGTCGCCGACAGAGACAATATCTGCAGCCATGGCAGACTTGGGCTCAAGCCGACCTGTTCTTGCTGTCAAGGACAGATCAGAAAAAATAGAATCAAGACTCCCCCGGAACTTGGGGGTCAGCTTCAGCCTTCTCCCATGGATTTGAATGAAATCCTATATTCCACAAGAGGAGGACAGGATGAGGAAACAATCATTTCATCGAAGAACCCTAAATAGGAAAAAAAAAAATGCAGACAAGAGATTCATGCAGAGTATCGCCGGAGCAAATAGACCTTGATCCATGAAGGAGGTAATGAGCCACGGAGGGCGACAATCCTGAGGGGAACTGTCAGAGCATACGTCTTGGACTTCCACCTCTCGAATTCCTTCCTCCATTCCTCATCTTCTTCTTCTCCCGCCTCGTTACCCGGGTCAGAACTATCTGTGAGCTCATTCTCTGTAATTCAATGCAAATTGGAGGTTAAATACATGATCATTCCAAAGAAACAAAAAATATATACCAAAGAAAGCCACACATCAACCCTAAAAGACTTCGCGGATGAATGCACAGAAAAAGCCGGATCGAAAACCATCCTCCCTCTTCTTCAAAATTGGGATATAATTCAAAGATCATAATTGAACACGAAGGAGAATAAAAAATTCCCAACGATCACCAGCTCCCGTACTCTGGAATCCTGATGCTGCAGGGCTTCACCTGCGGTGACGACGGGGGATCGGATATTGCAGGAGCGAGCGAGGGGAACACCGGCGGCTCCCAAGCCCACGAAGAAGAGAATGGCGGGAGCTGCCACACGAAGCAGAGACAAAGACCATCCCTCCTCCTCCGCCGGAGGACCCGGGAGCGATGGCCCGCCTGACGCCGGCGGGAGTCCCCGAAGGAGCCACCGGCTGGAGATTCCTCTGAGGCGGAGTACGCAGCCACCGGTGTGGCTCCGACAGGGGCTTCGGAGGTGGCGATGGGGAGAAGGCAGCGGCCGAGGACCGGCAGCAGCGGCGATGAGCAGCGCCATGCGGGTTCTTCCCCCTTCTTCCTCCGCTCTTGTAGCAGTCCTCAACAATGATCCAGTGACGTCATCTATCCGGGCCGGGCCCAATCTTCTCAGGCCCCGGCCTGGATTTCTCTCTCCTGATCGAAACCCAAGACTCTTGAGGCACTATAAAATCTGAACCCGCTCCTCCTCTCTCTTTCTCTCTCTCTCTCATCCGTATAGGCGTGTGAGGACTGCCAGCTTCGTCTGGTGGGGGCGGCGTCCTCTTCAGGGTTCGGGGTTCCGTCTCCCCCTCTTCCTGTCCCTCGCCGCCCCTCGATGTTCTTCTTCTCGCAGCAGCTTCCTAGCGTCGAGATCCCTCCCGATGACCCCGCAGTTCTTCTGAAATTTGTCTCGCAATTTCTTGGTTCCACGAATTAGGGTTCATCACTAATTCGTGATCTAGGGGTTTTCTCGTTCTTGATCGGGGGGTTCCCCTTGGATTGCTTCAGTATGGTCGTGTCAGCTCCCGTTGTAGGATCCAAGAGCCTCCGCGCCTTCGGCCCTGGTCTCAATCCGTTCGCCCCCCACGGAATGGGTAACTACTCCCCCGTCCTCCGCTAGTTGTCTGCACCTCCTCTTCGAAGATCGATCCCTGCTTCCCTCACAGCAGTATTGGAAAGGCGCCGACGAGCCGTTGTATATCGTCCAACGAGATCGAGTCTCTTCTCCCTCTTCGGGATAGCTGGTAAAGAGTTGGGCTGTCTATTTTCCTTCTTCTGGGGGAAGGATTTCTCCAGGCCCTGGTTGCTTGCTCTTGTTCTTGTTGTCTTTTGTGTACCATCCGGTTTGGTGAGAGAAGGTAGTCATGGTGGAGCTGAAGGGAACGCTGTCCCGGCGACAGCTTCTGAGGAAGAGGTCGTTTAGCCCCAGGTCCTCTGATAGAGACGACAGAGGGTGGACTCCACTGCATATAGGCGCACGGAGAGGTGACTTAAAGGAGGTCAGTTGGGTCTTCATTGGTTGGAGATTTTATCTTCTTTCCTTTCCTGGTTCTCATGTGTTTAAGGTGTATGACCTATGTTTCCTGACGTTTATTGTTTTCTTTGATTGATCTTGTCATATGTGAATGCCCAATTAAGGTTTTTCTATTGAAAATTTCGGCAAATAATGATGTTTCACGCTTCAAGACATCCGCGTCATGCTGTTCTGAAAATGAGGTCTGACTTGCGGATTTATATGTATTTTCTATTAGCTTAAACTCTTTTTTAAATTGGTAACAATCCTATTTTCTATTAGCTTAAAATGTTTAAATTCTGACCAATTAAACATCGCTTGGAAGATGGTAGATTATCATCATGGGGTAGGTTATGTGGATGATAAAAAAAAAATTAGAGGGAGCTGAAAAATCGCGGGTGAACATTTTATTACCTTTGGAGAGTTGAAGGTGTTAGTTAATTTCTTCCCAGAGGCAGGGTTAAATTTAAAGACGAAAACACAACTCGTTTCCTGCAAAGTAGGGAATCGAATAAGCAGCTCATGTTGCTTACAAATCAAGAAGTTTGGACCGTCTCTCTGTGTATGTACCTTTTCAAATTTGATTTTTTTTCTTTGCAGTAGTAAAAAATATTCATTGGTGTGCTATGACTGATGCAGAGCAGATTTCATAACATTCTAGTGAGAGAGTAGATTAAAGTCTCAGCTCATGCTGCTCTCTGATTATGTTCACAGGCATGCGTTTTTTTTGTATACCAGTGTAGTGTGGTGAGTTGATGAGAACTTCTCATAAAAAAATTTGGCAAGTTTTTTTATTTGCCAGTGGCGTTCATTGAAGTTTTAGTTTGATGGATGTTTGAGTGTTCCTAGTTCTATACTTTGATAATAACTGATTTTTTGATGTGAAACCATTTTTTTGGGAAAGTAGGACACGGAAAGATGCTTGGAATATGAATGACCTGTCATTGTTGATGCCGTGTGTTGTGTAGAACTGGTAATACTTCTGTTGCTGATAGTGTTTGAAGATAACTGGTTGTTTGGGTGCCACCGTCCGTATCAAAGCGACTGGGGGAACAGGGTCTCTGCGCTACTTAACTATCATACAGAGGGATGATTGTTCCCTCTCTTGCAAGACCCAAGTAGCATATATTTGTGATTCTCTGGGTTTGTATGTCGGACTCATTGCTGTTGTCATGTTTCTTCCTGCCTACAAAGATCAGAAACCAACATCAGATTGAAATTCTATGATACACTTCGAAACAAAAATGGATAGGTCAGGATCCTAGACGTTATTGAGGGCGGACTAGCGTAATATCCAATTGGTGGAGATGAGTGGTTAAGATCTATGCTATTTCGAGCTGCCTTCTAGTGCTGCAATGTTTCATCTTAATTTAATCCTTATTTGTAATTTTTCTTTAGAAAAGTCTCTAGACGACTCATGTTTACCAGGAAATAGATTCTCAGCATTTTTTATGATGCTGAGAATCATAAAAGGTACATTTGGCAACATGAGGGAGGCGATTTCCTAGGGCTGGGACATTTGGCATACATAAACCTCTTGTAAAGATGTAATCTGAAACCGTTGACCTCAGTAATTTCCACCGAATTATTCCACACCGATGAGTTCTAGGTGTGTTATTTGATTACGAGCAGCCCATATGTAACATCTCTGTGGACACATATTCTTCTTTTCCATCCAGGTGAAGCGCCTCCTGGAAGAAGGGATGGACGCCAATGTCCCTGCATGGGGCCCCAAATCCCCAGGCGTGACCCCTCTCCATCTTGCGGCCGAAGGCGGCCATCTCAAGGTCATGGACGCCCTGCTCGAGCATGGAGCCAACATTGACGCCAGAACAAAGGGTGCCTGTGGCTGTAAGCGCCCCCCCCCCCCAACTCCTGTCTCTCTCTCTCTCTCATTCTCTCTCATTCGTCCTGCATCTTACCAAAGGTCAAACTTTGGACTCTCACTCCTTTGTAACAAACAGGGACCCCACTGCATGCCGCAGCCAAGGAGAGGAACAAGGAGGCCATTAGATTCCTGGTGGAGAATGGGGCCTTCCTACCCGATGACATCAACGACGGCCGCTTCAATCCGCCGTTGCACTACTGCCCTGGCCTAGAGTGGGCCTATGAGATGAAGCTTAAACTGCAGGAGATGCCCCTCTCATCTGGAGACAGCTCCTGCAGCTCTGAAAGCTAGAACCTTTCTCCCTGACTGTATGTATGTCTCTGTCTGTCTGTCTGTGTGCGCAGCCACTGCTCTTGCGCCACCGGTGTAGAAAGCCCCATTTGGGTGGGATGCTTGTGCTTTGGAAACAAGAACAACAACACCACCAGGGTTTGTATTCTCTGGAGTTGATAGTTGTTGGGTGGGTCTCTGAGAGATGAAGCTTTGCCCAGTTGTAAAAATGCAACCTTTTTCGATTTTATATGGGGACCCAATTATGAGACAGACCGTCATTTGCCTCTAATCAATGAATGTGCTTCTTGTTTTGCTAATTTTGGGAAATGTATGAAGCTTCTTGGTCAATAGTCCGCCCAGCCCAATCACTTGAAAGGTGGAGGGTGAGCCCAAAATATTGGGCCCTAAGAAAGAGAATGTGAAAAGGTAGCCCAAGTTCTAGTCCAAAGTTTTCTTGGGTTATTTAGAGTTTATTTTTATTTTTTGTTATTCTAGGATTTATTATTATTATTATTATTATGTTCAGAGAGTATTCACTTTTATGTGATTTTTAGAATCTATTTCGATTTTGTTTGATGTATGATTTATTGTTTGAAATCATATATAAAGTGGTCATTAATTGAAATATTTTGAATTTGATATGTTATCTTCACTACCAAATTCAATAATATTTTCTTATGGGTCAACTTGGTACTCATGCTCCACATGTTCTTATTTCTTCTTTGATTAAATATGCAAAGTTGACTGAACTACATTTGACTTATGCTCATTTTCTCCACACCAATAGCATTTTAGAATGATAATTGAGTATAATGACCTTTCATCTCTAGAGTTTGACCAGAAGGTTATGCTCTACTTCAAAGGTTTAATTTAATTATTTGTTTAGATAGTCAGATTGAAGAAGCAACAACTGATATGAACATGTCTTTTTTGCAAACTTTAGACATGAATTACTGAAATTTCAAAACTGTCCTCCCTTTCTCTAGCAAAGGCCACAACTACACTATTAAGTTTCAAAAATAATTATAAAACTACTCTTTCTTTGATCTCCAATCTAAGACCACCTTTAAATCTCAAAAACGCACATATAATTCATTTTCATCTTAATTAACTTGGGAAGATAAATGATAAAACCCTAAAGAATAATTAGAAATAAATGACTTTCCTAATTTATAAGTATAAATTGCTAATATGAGATATGCTCGTAATTAGGAGGTGTAAAATGAGATTTTACAAGGTTTTTCAATTCATCCAACGTGCAAATAAGTTCCTTGCATCGGACGGAGTTGTTTATAGAGAAAGAAATCTCTGGGTTTTGAGGATCTTCGTCTGTCCATCGAAGAACAACAACAACAGGAGAATTATTTCCGCAGGAGGAAGAAGATGCCTGGTTAATCAAGAAGAGGATGAGAGCAGGTCGCGGCGGAGCTTCTTCATCCTTGCCGCCACCTCCACCATGTCCGGTCGCTCTTTCAGGGACTCCGACGAACATCTCAGCCCCAGCTCGATCGCCGCCACCAGGCAATCGCGGCGGCGCCACAGTACTTCCTCCGTGGGGTCGCCGTCCCAACGGTCGACTTCTCGCCGGTCGCTCCCGTAGCTTCTGCTGCTGCCGCCGCCGTCGACGCTGCTCGTTTCCTCCGGGTCGTCCTCTTCCAGCAGGCGGGGATCCACAACGTCGGCGAGGCTGTCGGGGAACGCCGCCGCCACCCATCGGCGGAGGTTCCAGCCGCCGCCGGCGAAGCGCCCGTCGGTGGGTCTCACGCCGGTGAACATCTCCAACAGGAGGATCCCGTAGCTGTACACGTCCCCCCTGGTTGTCACCCTCGCCGCCGTCCCGTATTCTGCAACACAGTTTTAGACAGAAAAGAAGACGACGACGACGTCATCATCATCTTCTTCTTCTTCTTCCAGGGTTTTTGGGGAGGAAGAGGAGGACATGCCTGGGGCCATGTAGCCGAAAGTGCCGGGGGCGGCGGCGCTGGTGAGGGTGGCTGAGGTGGCGTGCTCGGCGGCGACCTTGGCGATGCCGAAGTCGCCGAGGTGGGCGTCCATGTCCGCGTCGAGGAGCACGTTGCTGGGCTTGAGGTCGCAATGCACCACAGCCGGCGAGCACCCGTGGTGAAGGTACTCCAGCGCCGCCGCCACGTCGGCGGCCACCGCCACCCTCCGCCAGAAGCTCAGCCGGAGTCCAACATGGGCGCCGCCGTCGAGGTCGCCGTGAAGCCAACTCTCGAGGCTGCCGTTGGGCATTAGCGGGAGGACGATGGCCCTGAAGTCGAGGTTGGAGCAGGTGGTGATGACGCTGACGAGGTTCCGGTGGCGCACTGAGCGCATCACCTTGCACTCTGCGTCGAAGCTTCGCCACGCCGGTTCACCCATCTTGAGCAGGTCGAAGACCTTGACCGCCACCGGCGTGCCGTCGGCGAGCGCCCCCCGGTAGACCCTCCCGAAGCCGCCGGAACCCAGGAGGTTCTCCTCGCTGAACCCGCCGGTGGCGAGCATGAGCTCGTGGCGGGAGATCATAGGGTGCCCCCCCTTTGGCACATGGTCTCCTTCCTCCGCCTTCTCCTTCTTTTTCGTCTTCCTCCTCCATACGAGAAGGAAGATGATGACGAGGAGGAGCAGCAGTAGAGAGAGGGAACCTACGGCGGCGACGACGACGATGGTGGTGCGCCGGTGGTGGCGCCGGCGGTCTGTAGGGCAGGTCGCGGGGAGGTCGAACCAGGCGGCGCCACAGAGGGCGGGGTTGCCGGCGAAGGACTCGGCGGAGATTCCCGGGGACGCCGCGGCGAAGGGGCCTCCCGCCGGCAGCGGCCCTTCCAGGTTGTTAAAGGAGAGGTTCAGGCTCTCGAGGTGGGTCAGCCCCGCCATGGCCACTGGGACGCGGCCGGAGAGCGAGTTCGACGAGAGGTCCAACGTCTGGAGATTGAGGGTGGAGCCGATCGCGGGAGGGATCTCGCCGGAGAAGTTGTTGCTGGCGAGGCTGAGATATTTCAGCATCTGCAACCCTCCGACGGCGTCGGGGATGGCGCCGGTGAGCAGGTTGCTGGAGAGGTCCAGGTCGGTGACTATCCCCAAGCTCTTGATCGCCGCCGGCAGCGCGCCCTGGAACCTGTTGTGGGAGAGGTTGAGCTCGTTGAGCTCGGTGAGCCGCCACATCTCGAGCGGTATCTCCATCTCCAGCCGGTTCTCCGCCATGTTGAGCCTCTGCAGTCCGGTGAGGTTCCCGACGGAGCTGGGTATCGGCCCGGAGACGTCGTTCACCTGCAGGTACAGCAGGCCCAGCTCACCGGCGAGGCCGAGGTCCGCCGGGAGAGGACCTTGCAGGCGGTTGACTTCTAGGTACAGGCGCTGCAAGCTCGGCATCGCCGCCACCGCCGGCGGGATGGGACCGGAGAGCATGTTGTAGCTGAGCACCAGCGTCGTCATGGCGGTGAGGTTACCGAAGGTGGCGGGGATGGGCCCCTCCAGGAGGTTGTCTTGCGCGACGAACCGCTCAAGGCTGGTGAAGTTGCCGATGGCCGCCGCGGGTAGGATTCCGGTGAACTGGTTGAACCTGAGGTTGAGGTCTGTCAGCCGGCGGCAGCGGCTGAGGGGCCCGAGGAAGCCGAGATCCCCGCTGAGCAGGTAGTTGTCCGTCACGGTGAAGAGCTGAAGATCCTCGAGGAGGCCCAGCTCCGGCGGGACGCCGCCATGGAAGCTGTTGTAGGAGAGCTCGAGGTGGGTGATCCTGGTGGCGTTGGATAGAGACGCCGGGATCTCGCCTGAGAAGTTGTTGACGTTGATGTAGAGCATCTGCAGCGGCGGCGGCAGGCGGCGGCCAAAGTCAGGGGGGAGGCGCCCCGAGAAAGGCCCGTTCTGGCCGAGGTCGAGGGTGACGAGTGACGACATGTTGTAGACGGCGGGGGGGAATTCTCCGGTGAGCAGGTTGTTACCCAAAAGTAGGTACTGCAGGTTGACGAGCTTCCCGAGCTCGCCGGGGACTTCGCCAGAGATCTGCGCGGTGAAGATGCTGAGCACCTGGAGGTTCGTGAGGTTGCCCAGGGCCGGCGGGATCCTCCCGGTGAGGTTGGTCCTGTCGAGAACCAGGTAGTTGAGCCTGCTCAGGCTGCCTAGCTCCGGCGGGATCTCGCCGGTGAGATGGTTGCCGGAGAGGTCGAGGCTGACGAGGTTGGAGAGCCCGCCGACGGAGGAGGGGATCCTTCCGGCTAGCTGGTTCCCGGAGAGGTCGAGGTTGAGGAGGCTGGGGAGGGCGAGGTCCCCGGGGATCTCGCCGGAGAGGAGGTTGCCGGAGAGACGAAGCCCTCGCAGGGAACTCGAGCGGAAGATCGAACCGGGAATGGGACCCAGGAGGAAATTCTCCGCCAGGTCGAGGCTCCGCAGATCGGGGAAGTCGCCGAGCTCGTCGGGGATGCCGCCGGTGATCTGATTCTGTCGGAGGCTGAGGACCTGGATGAGGGTGAGGTTCCCCATGGATGGGGGGATCTCGCCGGTGAGGTTGTTCTCTGCGAGGAGGACTCGCCGGAGCCGGGGGAGTCCCCCCAGGGACGGGGGGATCTCTCCGGAGAGAAAGTTGGAGGAGAGATCGAGGTAGCGGAGGCGGCGGAGACGGCCGAGGGCGGCAGTGGGGAGGGGACCTTCGAGGCGGTTGCCGGAGAGGTTGAGGTAGACGAGGAAGGAGAGGTCGCCGATGGTGGGTGAAATCTCGCCGGCAAGGGAGGCGCGGGGTAGGGACAGTCCGGTGACTCGCTGCCGTCGGCGGCTGCAGGTGACGCCAGTCCAGTTCTGGCAAACGTCTCCGGCGACGATCCACGAGCTAGACAGGGCGGCGGCGGCGGTCTGGGACTTGAAGGCGAGCAGCGCCGCGGCGTCCGACGCGCTCTCATTCTGCTGGGCCGCCGGCGTGGTGGCTGCTCCGGCGACGAGGAAGAAGAGGAAGAAGAAGAAGAAGAAGAAGAAGAAGAAGAAGAAGAAGAAGAAGAAGAAGAGGATGGACTCGGCCAATGGAGCAAGCGTTTCCCACCGGCTCCTCCTCATCGGAGGCCGCCGGATATTCTTCCTTCGGCGCAGGCGTCCTCTGCAACCAGAGTCAGCGAGCAAGAAAGAGAGAGAGAGAGAGAGAGAGAGAGAGAGAGGTATGGCATATCTCATCGACCGGCTGGTCAACGAAAGGAGAAAGGTGCTAAGCAGCACAACAAGCTGACTCATACCCTCCGGAAGTCGTAACATGTTTCCCCATATGATCCACATCCCCGTGATCGGCGTTCCCGATCTCTGTCAGATTCCCATCGTACGGTCAGTGATAGTTAGCTACGATCCCTTCCCGTGAACCCAGGGGTCCACTGAAACCGCTCCCTCACGTCCCCTCCACCCTAGCAGCCGCCTCTTTTAGACCAGTCCTGCGGTGCAGCTGATTCGAACCCAGCGGTGGCCTTAGCTTTCCCGCTCTTGTGGCCTACAACACAGATTTCGGGTTATCGGGTCGGATTCGTCCCTGTACCTCGACAGATGGGGTACGTGGTCGCCCTGCCTTTGGTCTAATGAATGAGAGAGAGAGAGAGACGGACATGGATCGAGTAGTAATGGATCAGGTTTCATAAGGTGCTCCTGCGGTGCAGCACATTCGGTCCTGGCGGCAGTGTTCGGCTTTTCCCGAGTGGGGCCCACAGAAAAACTCACCGGGGAACTTACGAAAGTGACCCTTCTAAACCCGAAACTCTTAACTAGTTTGGGGTTATCGGGTCGGATACCCTCCCGGGGTTCGGCGGAGGGGTCAGTGGCCCCAATTTTGAACAACAATACTTGTCACCGCATAAGTGAGAGAGAGAGAGAGAGAGAGAGAGAGAGAGACTGATAGAGAGAGATAGAGGGAGATACAGAGATAGAGAGAGACTGATAGAGAGAGAGAGAGGTCATACATCGTTGATCGAGGAGTGATTGTTTAAGTTTTTTTGTTTGGGGAGTGTTTTTTCTTTTTCTTCTGGGAGAGATTTGGGGGTGGTGGGGGAGTAGATCGATGGGAGGGGGGGAGCGGCGACTCGGTGGCGGAGGTGGCGCCGCGTGAGGCTTGGGGATGGGATCTGGCGGCAGCAAGGCCGTCGCCGCCGCCACCGCCGCCGCTGATGATGGTGGCGCCTCTCTCGCAGCGGGTGGTCGTGTTGATGGGTGGGAGAGGAAAGGGAAATGGCGAAGGTCCAGGGTGCAGGGATGGCGGTGCCTCTGCCTGTCGTCCTCAGCCGCCTCCGATGAAGAGAAGGTCGTCTCTCTCTCTCTCTCTCGCTCTCTTAATGATGGGGAGTTCCGCTGGCCTCCCCGTTGTTGCGGTTCGTCAAACGTGGATTGTCTACGTCTGGCGACTGGGACGGCGGAGCGAAGCCCGTGAACTGCCATTATTGATCAGATTTCGAGTTTTTTCGTGCTCGTTCGGGGTGGCATTTACGCACTCTCGCTTTTAATTTCCTCTTTTGCCTGATGATTGGATGGGAGAATGATCAACGGAACCCAGTCACATGGCCTGCCGCTGTAGTGATGCAACCTCTCTTCTTTTCCTCGTTGGATTGATCCGGGAAAGTAGTTTTCGATTCGGCATTTTCTTCTTTAGATGATAAGCAGCAGAGTTGCGTTCCTTGTGATTTCTGCGTCCTAGTGATTGAAGTTTGCACCGGCTGACAGTCTCAATCAGATTTTAGGGAATCCGGAGTGGCGCTCTTGGCCTTTTCTTTCTTTCTTTCTTTGCGGCGGCGGTCTTTTAAACAATCTGACTTGCATTCTTCGTCGTTCCGTGACAGGAGAATAAAGGAGGGAGGCTCAAAAACGCCGTGTGTGCGGAGGAAGATGTAGTGAACTCCGACCGAGAAAGACGAGCAGAATGTATGCAGTTTATGTTCCCTTGTGGCCCAGGTCGAGGGGCCAGCTCCACCACCTCTTCTGATTCCGAGCAGAGGGAAGACCACCTTGAGAGTGGGTCCTACGCCGACTCAGATACCAGCGATGATGTATCCACCCAAGCTACAGCAGCCATTACCCGGTCCTCGGACCCTTTGAACCGCTCTTGCTCTCGTCTTTGCTTCATTCCTGATAGGATTGTTTCCAGGCTCAGCCGCGCCGCCAGTGTGGGTTCATCAGGTGCTCGTTCAGCCGCATCCGCTGGTTTTCCAACAATCGAGAACTCTGGTTTCGGTGGTGATGTTGTGAATAGGGATTTGGATGACTCATCAAATAGCAGGAGTGGGAATCGCGGCGGTTGCATTTCTGTGAATACTGTCTCTACACAAGGTATGATCAGAGGGAATCTAGATACAGAGGGGGCTGGTGCTCTACATCCTCAATGGAATAATGTGCAAGCTGAGAATTTGGAAAGGCGTCCCAGTAGGAGGCATGGGTTTCAAGATCCTTTAGAAGGTAGCGTGCGGTTCAGTAGGACACTCAGTGTTGGACGGCTCCGGGATAGAGTTCTTCGCAGATCATCATTCTCTGATGGCTTGTTTGGTGCTGAAGACGGGCTGGTGGGGTCTCATGGTGCCGGAACTGGGAGAAGAGCTCTGCATCGAGCCATGAGAGGGGCATTATCGGACAGGAACGCCACCATGATTACTTCTTCATCTGGTGGCTTGCCTGGTGCGATAGACAACAACCATGGTTATGATTCAGGGAATCAACAGATGAGAGAAGCTCTTGTTGGGGATACATTGGAGCACCGATCTACATTCCTCGAAAGGAGGAGGAGGATAAGATCTCAGGTCTGTAAAACCCGTGAGATTTCTGTGTTCTTCTTCATTGATGTGTTGTTCACAGGTGCTCACACACGCCGCCTTTCACAGGTCTGGGCTCTTCAGCGGCTGGGCAGCCGAGTTGAGAGTCTCCCCGGACATGACAGGTCCTGCTTGTTATCTGGTCAACACAGGACAGGTCATTGCACATGCGGGACAAGTAGACCTTCAAACACAGTTGACGACACAAACCCGAGATCTAGCATTTCACGGATTGTCATGCTGGCAGAAGCTCTGTTTGAGGTGGGATCAACTGGTTTCTCCTCAGATGTATGTTCATGCTTCCGTTTGTCTTGCCTTGCTAAATCGAAATGGATTGCTGGTTGGTGGTGTTTTCTAATTAGGTTTTGGATGAGATTCACCAGCAAGCCGTCGTTCTGGCCTCAAGACCATCCGTGTCATCTATTGGATCTGTTCCTGCTCCAAAGGAAATTGTGGAGCACATGCCTTTGAGGATATATGAAAAGTCACGCGCCTATCAAAACCAGAATGAGGACGCCTCACAGTTAATATCTCTCCCAACCTCTCTTCTTTCCAGTCACAGTTGCTATTCTTTTCTTCCAGTCATTTGCTTTTCTTCTGAAGATTTTGGGTAATTCCTTTAAAAAAAGATTAAGTCTTGCTTCTGCTTTCTCAGACTGGTTTCTATCTTCTGTTACAGCTTCTTGCTAAATGCGACGAAAAATTATGCACACCATGTGAAAGTTTAAAATAACTGTTGATGCAATCCAGAGATCCCGGCCTTTGTAGCCCACTACTCAAAAAAATAAAATAAAAACTCAATCTATGGATATATATATATATATATATATATTATATGTGTGTGTGTATAGTTATTATTCCTTGAGATTGAAGCATACACTAGTAATTTTTTTTAACCATAACCAGGCCTTCACCGCATTAATTGATATATATGGTTGATTTGGTTGGTGGTCCTCGGAACTTCTCAGATTATGAGAGAAACATGACCGCCTGGAAGCCCAGTTCCTTGCATCAGCCGCGCATGCTTCATTCATGTTCATTCATGGGCTTTCCTGCTTAAAACATGCTTTTTTTCTGGTTTCCGTATTGCTTGCTTCCTTCCCTCTTCCCTTTTCTCCCGATGCAAGAACGACGGTGAGTTGGATTGCTGCTGCTGCTGTTTTTCCTATCATTTTCCTGTATCGCAATGTTTCTATCGATCTAGATTTATTGCATCCCGGGGAGCTTTTTTCTGAGCGGCCGGATTCGATCATCGTTTTGCTCGACTGGCAGATGCTGCCACATCTGCCTGGTGGAGTACGAGGAGGGAGACTGCGTGAGAGTGCTCCCCTGCGGTCATGAATTCCACCAGGCCTGCGTCGACAAGTGGCTCAAGGAGATACACAGGTCTTTCCCATTCCCTCTCTCTCTCTCCCTCCCTCCCTCTCTGCTTCCTCCCCCCCCTCTTCTTTCCCTTCTTCATGGCATCTACTCACGGTTTCCTCTCTCTCACTCTCTGTTTCTCTCTCTGATGGCTGGCAGGGTCTGCCCTCTCTGCCGCGGCGACGTGTGCATATCCGAGGTGACCCCGCCGGAGAAGCGCGGCCAGAGCTTGTGAGCTGGACGCGGGGGGTCGCCCTCCTTCCGAGCCCTTGAATACCTCGTTCATTCGCCGCCGCCGTCGCCGCCGCCGCCGGATGGGGAGACCAACTCCGAATGTGTGGTTGACCTCTCGGGAGAGAGAGAGAGAGAGAGAGAGAGAGAGAATCATGGAAAGAGTGGGTGGCTGACTTTTTACTTGGGTCCACTCGTCAATTCCACCCATTGGACAGAGATTCTTCGGGAATTAATTGAATGCAGAAGTCACGGCAGCAGTCGAGCCCAGAATTTCTCTCTTGGTCGCCGTCACAGTGAAAATAATCATCACCATCACCATCACCATCACCATCATCATCATACTTTTACTTACAACAGGCCGACGGGCCTTCTTCTTCTTACCACCCCCCCTTCCTTTTTCTTCCACACGTTTACTCTTCTTCTTCTTATGTACACGAACGAGGGAGATCTCCCCTTCCCTTATTCCAACCAAACCAACACACATCAACCCACCCAGCCCAACCCATCTCTCTCTTAACTCTCTTTCTCTCTCTCTAAATGTGTAAGTAAGAAAAAGGGCTGCGGTGGTAAGTCAGTGGAGGGAGTCGAGGTAGGAGAGGGCGGCGGGTCGGCGGCGGCGAAACTCGAGGAGGCTGCCGTAGGTGCGATCGGAGACGGCGATGAAAAGCGAGTCGACAGCGTGGTGGCGGTGGTGGTCGGAGGAGGGGCTGAAGGAGAGCCCGGAGATCTCGCCGAAGAAGTCGATTTCCTGGCGGCGGTCGAAGGTGGAGGTGGAGGCGTCGAAGATGTGGACGAAGTCGGCGGGCTCGGCGGCGGCGAGGAAGCGGCCGTCGGGGGAGAAACGGAGGGAGCGGATGGCGCCGAGGTTGCCTCGGAGGGCGCAGAGGGCGCGGTGCGGGCTGCGGGCGTCCCACACGCGGCACGTCTTGTCCTGGTTCCCCGTCGCGAAGAGGTGCCCCCCCGGGTGCCACGCTGACGCGAAGGAAAAGTCCCGGTGCCCCTTCAGCTCCTGGATCGTCTGCCCGAGATAGAGAGAGAGAGAGAGGGAGTGAGAACAAACACAGAGACAGAGAGAAGTATACAGGGGAAATAGAGAACCTGGGCCTGAAGTCAACACAAAATCTCGTATACAGGGGAAATAGAGAAGGTGAGGGGCGGGGGGAATTACCTTCCCAGACTGCGGATCCAGCAGCAGGCCCTCCGTGTTGTCCCCCACCACGACCAGCAGCTTCCCATCCGGGCTGAGCGACGTATGCTGCAACAACAACAACCAACCAGCGACAACACCCCGTCACCAACCACCCAAGAAACAGACCAAAGAGAGAGAGAGAGAGAGAGAGAGAGAGAGAGAGAAACCCTGCTGATCGGAGTCTCACGTCGCGGAAACCCATCTGCCAGAAGCCTAAGCAAAAGACATAACAAAATCTTCTCCCGGACAAGAAGAACCGGCCCGTTGACCCTCTATTTTCTCTCTCTACATTCCCTCCTAGTGAAAGGGGGACTACTCTCGGGCATGAGGCACTTACATTCACGGGCCAGGGGAACCGGAAGTGCTTGCAGAGCTGGAACTTCTCCATGTCGAAGTCTCTCACTCCGCAGTCATTGTTCGCAGCCATGAAGTGGAGCGCCCCGCCGCTGCGCAGATCCGGAAGAAGAAACACGGTCAGAACCTGCTCCTGTTCTTCACACGGGATGAGAGGGAGAAGGCCTAGTCAGACTGGGCCGACGTGCCTCGGGCTGTTGTAGATCTCCACGGCGTTGGTGATCGCATTCTCCTCGTATGTTGTTCGGGAACAGAAGCTTATCCCTGGCCGATCCAAGTACTGCACACAAAGAGTAGCCCCTCGAGACGGAGAAATAAATAAATAAATAAAATAAAGGTGGAGGAGGTGTGCAAGTTAACCTTGCAGATGAGTTCTCCCTGAAAGCCTCCGGCCACGAGTAGCTTATCTTTGACTGCCAAGGTGCTGACCTGGGTCTGCGTAAAGCCCTCTAGCAAGTTGCCTGGATGCTTCTGCAGAGAGAGGCAAGCAAGAGGAGAAAAACCCTTCAAGACGACAGAAACCCACAAGAGTAAGAGGGAAAGGGGAGGGGGGGAGGCGTTCATGAACCAGGCGCACCTCGCAAGGGGCCACGTGTCCCGACACATTAAGAACCTCGGACGTCTTCCCACTCACCGCCGACCAATGGATGACAGAGTAACGTGACATGAGGTAGACGTCGTGCTTGGACGTAGCCCAGACCAGATTTCTCAGCTGAGGCGATCCGAGAGGCCACATAGAATAAATAACTCAGTGTCAATGTACTTGCTATTTTCAGCAAACAAGGAAAGAACAGATGACGAGACCTCCTATTAAGCTGAACCATATTATTATTTACTATCTCGATATGAAGAAGGTTGAATGAGCAAACATGATGAGGTTTCACAGTTGTCATTGGGAAAGTTTAAATTCCGAATCACAAAGAACTAACTATAAAACGTAGTAGATTTCACAACCCCCCACCTGGAAATGCAAAATAGTAGATTTCACCGATCTTGTATTGTGTTGAAACTCATAGAAAACCTCTCCTTTTCTCGTCGGTTTGCAGTCCTAGCAGGAAACAAAAAAAAAAAAGAAAAAAAAAAAGGGTTTAATATCAGAGTTATTAGGATACCTTCTCACAGCCTGTACTAGTCAGAACTTGTGAGAAAATCGATACCTTCTCTGACTTCTCCCCTGAACTAGGAACATTTTCATAATTCCGGTACTGCTCCAGCCTTGTCTGCCGGTACTTGTCTCTTGTGATGCTTAATCTATCCCAAGGAATCCCCTGGATATCCTTTCCTTTTCTCGCTTGCGCAGAGGAAGTGTCAGTTATCCGGGGACTCTGCAAAGTTACGCAACAAAATTCTTCAATAGGAATGCAGATCAGAGCTTGAATTTCAGATCTAGGTAAAAATAAATATGAAATAAAAAGGATCTAATGCTAAGCAGCTCCAGCAGCAAAGAAATGGAAGAAAGAATACAACGGACCCCGTGGATGTGCTCGTCGCCATCAGAATCTGAATCCCCGATAAATCTACCACGAGGTTCATCATCTATGTCATCTTCGACACCCGCCATTTCGTAATCGTCTGCCATGTCATCAATCTCGTCCCTATGATAGTGGGACATCTCTGATTATAAATATATGTTTCTCTCTGCAACATTCAGGACAGGTAGACCAATAAAAAAGGGTAAATGAAAATAATCGTAATATTTAGGATTGCAAGAACCATCAGACGGGTGAAACGTATAACCATAAGGACTCAAGAGCTTGTTTAACCCGAATAAAACATCATTAGTAACAAGACAATAAACTCAGACGGTAACCATAATGCTAGAAACGGCTGACTTCAACAAAACGGAACTGATCCAAGACAACTAACAATATCCGTGTTAAGAACCTAATCATTATTCCAGCTGATTGCATTTGATGAATAAAAGACTTGTGACATCGTATCAGGCAAACATTTTACGACCAATATGCTTATAATGGGGCCTCAACCCCAGGAACATGGACAAGAAGACAGTAGTCTCTTAATCAGTTCCGTATTTCGAAACAATCAAGAAGCCGCATTACATGTTCTGAAAATGGATGAGTCACATGAAATTTTTGTTAACGAGGAGGGCCACCAGATATTAAGAAAGTCACAGGCTAGCTCATTAATGATGACTTATAGTCAATACATAATACACATGGATAATTTTGCCCAAAGGCTTAACGAGGTCGTCCAATTTATTTACGCTGATAGTTTAACACATCCTCAGATAGATAATAGTAGCAAGAAAATAAAGCACTGGTTTGCTACTTTGAGAAGGGAAAAACAACATTATTTTTTCTCGTTCTGTACTGTGCCAATTGTACACAAAAAAGCTGAAGGTGGCAGAGTTTCCCAGCAGAGAAACAACCAATTCTCCACCTTACAAAGGGAAAAAAAGACTAATTCGCCACCTTTCCTAGTAGTCTGTGTGACAAAACATGTAATTGGGCTGAGTTCCGGTTCCAGAGTTTTAGTTTACTCAAATGAAAGTCATGTTGGAATTAAGTCTCCATGAAGACAGTGACTAAAATGTGATTGAATCAATGATTTGGGAGATTTGATCAGATTGATGAGGATCAGGATTGAATGGGTTGTGTCACCTGATCTAATGAAAATGAGGCTGTAATCCATTGGCAACCTAGATTAGAGCTTGAATCAGCAGAACATCAAGATGTTTTAACAGCCAATCATCAGGCAAACCCAATTTGGGGGATTCACTAGGAAAAGTCGGCGGCTCAACTCCGAATTGCATATTCCTAACCGTTTGTAAAGGTACATGGCGGAAAGGTAGCAACTTTCCACATCTGAAACATTGAAGTATCATTGTTTAATAAGTCATTCTGATTGACACTCTTTGCCAATTTCAACTGTCTCTCTGTCCTCATAGGAATTACCTTTTATACATTTTCCTTTCCCCGCTTTTCATTGCGTCTCAAGTTCAAGAGTCCCATTTATTTAATGATGACTATGTTTTTTTTACAGGGGCTTATACTTCAGCTCTCAATTGCAGGCATTGCTATCCTTGCTTATCAATAAAATTCGGACACCAAAATAAAATCCACCGTATTAAATCTAGCTTTGCATGGGTATCCTTGGTGGTTTCCTTTCTGATACTCAAGTGCGCACTGCTCGTCATGCTATCATGATATTCGATGTCCCATTTTAATGCAACGGTAGCGCCATCTTGAGGACCATAAAACAACTGCTCATCATTTTAAGTCTCATTGACGTATAGATCAAAGGACAATTACAGGAAATAACCCACTGAAAAGGACAAAGAAAGGGAACACTGAAGAGTGTACATTTAAGTCCATGCTTCATAATTGTGGACAGATTTACGTCAGCACATGGTCTGAATGCATCCATCAAATCTCAATCTAATTATTGAAAAAGAACCCCGTGAAAACTATTCTGCCATTCATAAACCTAATATCTACAGAGGAGGAAACTTTTACAAACAATGCACTGGTTATATAACGGTAGTGATAAAATAAAGTGCTCACCCATCCCTCCAAATGAGAAAACATGAACGTTTTTCTGTTGTCAGAACCAGATGAATTTATATACCAATACAGAGCATGCACATTGGAGTTTCCAACAGGGAACACTTCCCAATGACCTCTTAATAGACTAAAAAAAAATGGTCCATATGACATAATATAACAATTTCACAAGAAAACACCTGACCGTTAAAGACTCGTTCAGGCCTGAAAGTGAGATCTTATAAAGTCAGTAAGCACGATCTACACCATATCAGAGCACAAAAAATGGTAAGCATCGTGTTTGGGGTTTTAATTAAAGCTAATTATACCTAAGTGTACGAGTATCGCATATAGTATGCATTCAAAATTTTAAAAAATGCGTGCATATGTTAAATCTCTTACCAATGAATGTAAGAGAACAATAGGAATAATTAGAAAGGAAACAAGTTAGTTCATGTGGTTATGCGTGTATCAACCCGATCAAGAGAAATGGAGACAGGAATTGAGCTTCTGGTGAATTTTCCATTGTTGGCAGTGTGCCAACGTATAGTTTGTTTCCATTGTTCTCCAATCACCACATGAACTAACTTATTTCCTTTCCAATGATTACGTGTTTCACTTATGGTGTTATTGTGACATTTGACTTTAAATCCCTGTTGGTAGTGTGCCAACGTATCATCTGTTCCCATTGTTCTCCCATCACCGCATGAAATTAACTTGCATCATCCTTTCTAATGATCAATTTTTTCGATTATGGTGCTATTGTGACATTTACTTCACATTTTTCTATTTGACGGTAACCTAATTTTAATGTTCACACATCTTTTTGACAGAACGAATGCACGGGGCAATCACAGAATAAAATGCACGCGAAAATACAAAGGAAGGAAACACTGAAGACGATATTTCTGCACGCATATGGCGTTTGATCTGTTCGCAGGCAGTGGGTAAACATTTTAAGGCAAGCATATAACATAGGTACGGAATGAAGACGGATGCGGGCATACATAAGATCTCGATCTAATGATACCAAGGGAACACCGGTAATATTTCTCTTTCAGCTACGGTCCTAAGCCCTCCGGCAACGAACCATGTCCCTGCACCGCATGTACACAAAAGATTACGTCAACAGCTGGTAGAATTGAAAACCAAGTGAAACCTAGAAATTTTTAAAAACCAAGGCGGACAACGTAGATGTTACATCGGCCTCTCCGGTACCAAACAAACATTTAAAGCAAAAGGATCTGGGTAGACATATATCTGTAGAAACGTGCCACCAGGAGCACAATCCGGAAGAAGAACCCAAACGTAAGGTTCGACCAAGCAACAGATCCGATGATTCCCGATCCAAATATTGGGATCGGAGGAAGGAGCGACATGCAGCGATCAGGTGGCGCTCCCGCCGCAGGGGAGGAAAGAAAAGCGGCGGGAAGGGAAGGGAGGGAGCAGGGGGCGGAGGAAGGCGACATGGCGTTGCATACTACCTCACCCGATCTCCACCGGCGTCCAGGCTTCCAGGGGACAGCGGCGGTGGCAGTGGCGGCGGCGGCGGCGACGGCGAGTGGTGCAGCGGCCGGGAAGGGAGGAGAGGGAAGGGGAGCAGGGAGGAGCGGGCAGTTGTGCGGCCAGGAATTCTGGTTTTCCCCAGATTTTTCTGGGCGCCACGTCAGCACAACCTCGCGCGGGGCCCACGCTGACGCGACGAGCCAAGAAGGCCTATGAAAACGTGTGGGGCCCATAGTAAGGCCCAGTTGCCACAGCGCGAGGCTTAAAATGGGCTATAAGGGCCCCAATATGTTAAAAAGCCCAACCCCTAAGCGTGGAAGTAGGCCTAAATTGGGCCATGATTTCATATGCCCGCGGTAGTTGGAAGAGACGCCCTTTTAACCTCCGAGTCTTGCCGCGCTCGGACAAACGGGGCGCTTGGTTTATTCCTCGGTCAGGTGGCGACAAATATCCAGTGGGCCCCACCAATAATCTATGCCTTCGTCTGCTCAGAGCTCCAAACCGAAGCAAAGCTCTAATCTTTAGACTCTCTCTCTCTCTCTCTCTCCTTCGTCATTTACATATGAGAAATTTTGCCGTCTGAACCGACCGGTGGGCTGCACCATAATCACAGACATATGCAGGACGACTACAGGTGACGCAGCTCCATCTGGAGCCAACACCAAATGACGCCGGCATTGAGAGTTGGGTATCAAACTAATGACGACTGGGCATCACTCTACATGCATCTTGACATGTGCAGTAATGAATGTGGTAAGGTTTGAGAACACCGGAGGGGAAACATTCAGAAATATTATAGCTATTGCCTTTAGCGTGGATTGAGCTATGAGCTTGAATCGAAGTAGGTCCACTTGGCCTATTGGGAGGTCAAAAGTACTAGCTTTGACATTTATACAAGGTCAACCTCCAGCTCATATGCCATTTAAATCTCAACAGTAAGAAGACAACTTATAGGAGAAAATATGTAATCACAGAATCAAAACAATAATAGAAACTCAATTTTTAGATATCAATGAGAATAAATAAAAGAGAAATCATCAAGTTATCAAGAATTCTGATGAGAACAAAACTTCTACCAAGTACCTCTAATCTGTGTTTCGATGTCCTTGAGATGACTCACATACTAGAGAGTCAATAATAGACTCTTATCTCCTTCTTTAAAGACTTCATCTGTAATAAAAGAAAGAAAACATATTAAAAAAAAGAATAGAGTTGATGAAAAGAAAGAATAGAAATAAAAGAGAAATCATCATCTGTTGTACTAAAAAAAAGAGAAATATATACCATATTTATAGAAAATAGGAAAAGATAACCACCCTTTAAAAGGAAACATCTCGATCTATGTGTAGTCACGCCCATACATCTCAAATGTGACGACTGCAACCACTCTCATTCTCTCTCTACACGACCCTCAAACAGGTCATAAGGGTCGACGTGACTATAGTGTCACCACCCCTTTACTCCTCGCACGCCTCTTGAGCGAGTTAGATGGGAGAGCTCTCTCTCACGTCTCTCAAACAATTGAGACGGGAGATGTTCTTTCACACATCTCTTGAACGGGTCAATCATGATGGACTGACACCATTAATAAACTCTACTTTGGTAGCCATCATTACTACATTTGGAGTCGACGTCTATCCATATTGCAAGTTCTCTATCTTTCTATAAGGTACCTATAATATGAATCAAATTTAAATAATATTTGAACTTTTCTAATGTGACGACCTTTGTCAACATATTTGTGGTATTCTCTTCCATGTGAACCTTCTTTAGAGAAATATCTCTTGAATTCATCAACTCATGGATCTTGTGACACCGCACATCAATATACTTCGATCGTGCATGAATAACACTCTAACTATCACAACGCAGAAGAACTTCACTTTGTCAAATCCTAAGTTCACTCAATAATTTATTCAACCACAAGGCCTCATTGGCTGCTTTAGTAGTTGTCATGTATTCCACCTTAGTTGTAGATAATGCAATAGTAGTGTGAAGTGTAGACTTCTAGTTGACAGGTCTACCAATCACGATAAAAATATATTTCGTCGTAGATATTTGATAATCTAAATCTCCGGTAAAATTTATATCAACAAAGTCAACAGTAGAAAAATAATTTTGTTGGTCAAACGGATTACGAAATCTAAAGAACCTTTTAAATATCAGAGAATTCACTTTATTACGCGCCAATACTCATTTCTTAGATTGCTCATAAACTTGCTCATAAGCCTAACTATATGAGCAATATCTGGTATGATATAGACCATAGTGTACATGAGAGAACCAACTGCACTAGCATAAGAAATTTACTTCATCTTAATAATATCTTCCTCAAATATTAGACATTGAGTGGTAGATAATCTGAAATGACTAGTCAAAGGAGTGCTCACTACTTTAACATTACTCATGTCAAAAAGATTCACCATCTTCGAAAGATAACTTCTCTAATTTAACCATAGTTGACCTAACTCACTATCTCTATAGATCTCCATACCAAGAATCTTCTTTATCACTTTAAGATTTTTCATATCAAATTCTCTGTCTAATAGTATCTTAAATTTAACAATTTAATGTGAATTCTTTAAAATAATAAGTATATCATCAACATAGAGTATCAAAATAATCAGAGAATCATCATCACAAGTCCTCATATAAACACAATTAAAATCGCACCTCGTATAGTCAATCTTCAACATATAAGAGTCAAACTTTTTGTATCATTGTCTTGATGTCTATTTCAACCCATAAAAGGATTTTTTCAATTGACAAATAAGATTTTCTGATCCCTGCACAATGAAATCCTCTAACTATTACATGTAAATAATCTCTTCTAAATCTTCATGAAGGAATGCTGTCTTCACATCAAGTTACTTAAGCTCCATATCTTCATGTGTGACAATAACTAACACCAAGTGAATAGACATGTTTCACAAGAGGCGAATAGACATTTGTTTCATAAGAGGTGAAAAGATCTTTATATAATCAATTTCTTACTTTTGTGTAAAGCTTTTTGCAACAAGTTTTACTTTGTATTGTGGCTGATCACTATCAATCATTAGTGACTTCTTCTTGTATACTAATTTACAATTAATAATTCACTTTTTTGTAGAAAGATTCACCAATTCTTAAGTGTGATTCTTGTTTAAGGATGCTTGCTCCTCAAATATTGTCTATATCCACTTCTCTCTTTCAGGTCCTCTTGAAAAATTGTGGGCTCGTTATCTCTTGTAAATAATGTAAAGACAGCATAATCATCAAGACGAGTAGAAGACTTTACTTCACGCCTACTCTATCTAGTAGCAATATAATCAAGAACATCTGATGATTCTACAACTCGATCTTCACTCACAACAGAATTAGCAAAACTCTTCATAGTCTCCACCTCCAATCTTGCACTATCTATAACTCAAGTATCATTAGATTTTTGAACTTTCTACTTCGTAGAAAATGACTTTAACATGTGATCTTCATCAAAAATTACATCCATACTAAAAATAACTTTCTTCACCTCTAAATTCCAAAGTCGATATCTCTTCACATTAGTGCTATAGCCCAAGAAGATACATTTCTTTGACTTTGGATCCAACTTTGATATCTCATCAGCAAGTGTAAGGATATATCCTAGACATCCAAATATATGTAAATTTGAATAGTCAATAGAATTTTCAGTTCATACCTCTTCAGCAACCTTTCTATCAAAAATATCATTTGGTGATCTATTCACCAAGTAAGCTATCATATTCACAAATTTTACCCAAAATTCTTTAGACAAGTCAACATTTAGCCGTAAACACTATGCTCTCTCAATAATCATGTAGTTCATCTGCTTAACAACATATTTTGTTATGGAGTCTTCTTCATCGTATAATGACATTGAATACCATGCTCATTACAAAATTGATCAAATTTAGAATTCTTAAATTCTATATCATTGTCACTCTACAAGACTTTGATCTTCCTCTTCGTCTGATTCTCCACCTTCGCACACTAAGTTTTGAACTTTGTAAATACTTCAGACTTATACTTCAAGAGAAATATCTAGATTTTTCTGACAAAATCATCAACAAAGGTCAAAAAGTATTGAGCACTACCCATCGACATCACATCAATCGGACCACACACATCTAAATGAACATAGTCTAGCACACTACCCGTATCATGTTTCATTGCCTTGAATGTCACTCGGCACTATTTTCTCATGATACAGTACTTAAAAAAAATAAATTTACAAGTTCTTACTCTAGGTAGCAATCCTCATACATGTAGCTTCTGCATACCTGTCTCACTCATATAACTCAATCGCAAGTGTCATAAAAGTGTGTCATCAATTATGAATCATTCGGTCTCACAACACAAGGTCTACCTACAATAGTACTCTCCTCAAATTTATAAATATTCATTCATTGTCATCTTCCCTTCACAACAAACGATCTCTTTATAATCTTGAGGATCCCACTCTCTCATTTTAAGTAACATCTATTTGCCTTCAATACTCTAAGTGAAATCAAATTTTGGTACAATGTTGGAACATAATGAACATTTCTAAATTCTTGGACCATTCTGTCAAACATCGAAACCTTCATTGAACCAATGCCTACAACTTCATAAGTTACATTGTTTCCTATAAAAACAACTTTTATTGCACTCATGTATGAGTCAAACTAGTCAGTATTAGGACACATATGATAAGAACAATCAGTATCAAGAATCCGTATGTTCGACAACTCCTCAACTATAATAAGTTCAAAATAGACTTCACTATCTTCTCTATCCTCAACCTTCACAATATTAGCCAAACTAGATTTAACTTCTGTTATTTTATCACTTCAATTCTTCAGACAATCTCTTCGCAAGTATTCCTTTTCATAACACTTGTGAAAAGTTTGGCTTTTCAACCAATTTATCTGTGACTTAGACTAACTCTTCTTCTCTCTTGACGATCCTTTCTCCTTCTGCCTTCCACGTTCTCTTCCACCCTTTACATATAAACCTTTACCATGAGCCTCACTAACATCTTTCTTTTGATGATAATACTCCATCAATAAGTCAATAACTTCAAGAACATGTGTTGTACTACCATGTAATAAGATCGTAACAAGATGATCATATAAATTAGGGAGAAAAACAAATAGAATAATACTTTTATTCTCATTAAAAAGATCTGATTCCATACAAAGTAAGTCATTCAACAATTGATTAAATAATCAATATGAGATCTCAAATCATTTCATCTGACATGTATAACCTAAATAACTTTCTCTTCAATGTCAATTACTCATCATTGACTTTAATACACATCATTTCTCCAACTTCTTCTAGAGTTCTTTTGGATTTTATTCATTCATGACCTACTGAAGAGCTCAATCAAACAAACATGTACAAATAAAATCTCCAGCCTTCTTCTCTATTATCTTCTAATCATCAATACTAGTCTTATCTACCTTTGAACCATCCAAAGTCTTATACAAGTTAGTCTGCAATGCATCATACACATGATGCTTCTAGAGATTAAAGTTAGAAGACATCCAACTTCTAGCTGTTAATAAGTATTTTAGAAGTCATAGTAAATTTATAAATAATCAAATCAATACTCTAATACTACTTGTAAGAGAAAATATATAAGTACCTGATCATAGTAACAACGGAAACTCAATTTCTAGATATCAATGAGAATAAATAAAAAAGAAATCACCAAGTTATCAAGAATTCTGATGAGAACAAGACTTCTGCAAGGCACCTCTAGTTCGTGTCTTGATGCCCTTGAGATGACTCACACATTAGAGACTCAACGATAGACTCTTATCTCCTATAAGGACTTCACCTGTAATAAAAGAGAGAGAAGATACCAAGAAAAATAATAGAGTTGATGAAGAGAGAAAATAGAAACAAGAGAGAAATCGTCATCCATCGTATTAAAAAAGAGGACATACATACCCTATTTATAGAAAATAGGAAAAGATAACCTCTCTTTAAAAGGAAACATCTTGATCTACATGCAGCCGTACCCACACATCTCGGATGTGATGCCTGCAACCACCCTCTTTCTCTCTCTACACGACCCCCAAATGGGTCATATGGGTCGATGTGACTACCGTGTCACTGCCCTCTTACTCCTCGCATGCCTCTCAAGCGAGTCAGATAGGAGAGCTCTCTCTCATGTCTCTCGAAAAATTGAGACAGGAAATGTTCTCTTGTACGTCTCCCGAATGGGTCAGTTGTGATGAACTAACACCATCAACACAACCTGCAGGAGATCGTTGCCCTCCTTCCTTCCCATGGTAGTGGCGGTGACGGAGTTGTTGAGCTTCACTGTCCGTCGAGGGGGGGCCGGTTCTGGTTTCCCCTGCCAAGCCCACGCCGCACGAGTTTAAGGAACTTGCGGACGTTGACTTCCAGGGGACCACGCAAATGCAGATCGGTATCATCTGGTTTTTCCGAGGCAACAGGGGACGGGCGAAGGGGCGGACCCTGCAAAGGTCATCAGGGAGGCCCTCTCCCCGACGCTCGTCTTCTACCATCCCTTTGCTGGACGCATCCGCAGAGGGGTTGACGGGGGGAGGCCAGCGGTGGAGTGCACTGGCGAGGGCGTCCTCTTCACGGAGGGCGATACCGACGTGCGACTGGACCAGTTCGGTGACCTGCTGCCGCCAATGCCATGCTCTGAAGAATCCTCCAGAAGGTCGAAGGGTCTGAGGGCCTCTATGACACCCCTCTCTTGCTTATCCAGGTGAGGATCTAGCGTGGAAATTGAACTCACCCTCCGCCATACGACATGCTATGGCATCGAAGTTGCTGGTCCTTCTACTCAGTCGGGGTTCATTTTTCTCCATCTCCGTCCCAGCGGAAGTGCTGCGATAAAGAGAGACAGAGAGATAAGTAGATAGATAGATAGAAAGATAGATAGATAGAGAGAGAGAGAGAGAAACGCATACATAGAAAGGGAGAGGGAGAGAGAAAGAGAGATCGAGATAGATAGATAGAGACACAGAGATAGAGAGGGAGAGAGAGAGAGAGATAGAGAGGAAAAGAGAAAGATAGAGATAGAGTGAGGGGGAGAGAGAGGGAAGGAGTGAGAGAGATAGAGATAGAGATAGAGAGGGAGAGAGAGAGCAATAGAGAAAAAGATAGAGATAGATAGAGGGAGAGATAGAGATAGGGAGGGAGAGAGAGAGAGAGAGAGAGAGAGAGAGGAGAGGGGAGAGAGAGAGAGAGCGAGAGAAATAGAGAGAGTGAGTGAGTGTGTGTGTTGAGAGAGAGAGAGAGAGAGAGAGAGATAGAGATAGAAATAGAGTGAGGGGGAGAGAGGGAGGGAGAGAGAGAGAGAGATAGAGATAGAAATAGAGTGAGGGGGAGAGAGGGAGGGAGAGAGAGAGAGAGAGATAGAGATAGATAGATAGAGAGTGAGAGAGAGAGATAGAGAGGGAGAGAGAGAGAGCAATAGAGAAAAAGATACAGATAGATAGAGGGAGAGATAGAGATAGAGAGGGAGAGAGAGCAATAGAGAAAAAGATAGAGATAGATAGAGGGAGAGATAGAGATAGAGAGGGAGAGAGAGAGAGAGATAGAGATAGAGATGGAGAGGGAGAGCGAGAGTGAGTGAGTGAGAGAGAGAGAGAGAGAGAGAGAGAGAGAGAGAGAGAGAGAGAGAGAGAGAGAGAGAGAGAGAGAGAGAGAGAGAGAGAGAGATAGAGATAGAGATAGATAGATAGAGATAGAGATAGATAGATAGAGAGTGAGTGTGTGTGTGTTGAGACAGAAAGAGAGAGATAGAGATAGAGTGAGGGGGAGAGAGGGAGGGAGAGAGAGAGATAGAGATAGAGTGAGGGGGAGAGAGGGAGGGAGAAAGAGAGATAGAGATAGAGTGAGGGGGAGAAAGGGAGGGAGAGAGAGAGATAGAGATAGAGTGAGGGAGAGAGGGAGGGAGAGAGAGGGAGAGAGAGATAGAGAGCGGGAGAGGGAGATAGAGAGCGGGAGAGGGAGAGATAGAGAGGGAGAGAGAGATAGAGAGCAGGAGAGGGCGAGATAGAGAGAGAGATATGGAAAGAGGGAGAGAGAGAGAGAGAGAGAGAGAGGGAGAGAGAGATATATAGAGAGAGGGAGGGAGAGAGAGATAGAGAGATGGAGAGAGAGAAGAGGGAGAGAGAGAGAGAGAGAGAGAGAGATAGATAGATGGAGAGAGAGAGAGAGAGAGAGGGAGAGAGAGGTGGGGGAGAGAGAGAGAGAAATGGAGCACAGGGAGGAGACTGAACCTGAAGAAGGAAAGCCAAAGTCATGACTCGAAGAAATAACATATCCGTATTGGTGCCCAGGTGACGAGGCTTCTATGCGGGGGATTTGCGATGGGTGTCCGGTTTAACCACATCATCTCTGACGTCGCAGACTCCCGACCCACCTTGTTGCCCGTGTGGAAGAGCTACCTGCTCCAGGCTCGGAACCCCCCCCGCAAGTGACATACTCCCACCGGGAGTACGACGAAAAGTTCCACGATTCCGTTCTCTGGTCCTTCTTCCGCCGGAAGGATGTCCGTCCTGTCCTTAAAAAAGCGGCTTCCGGAGGACATGCAGAGGACCACTTCCTTCGACCTGCTCACCGCCTGCCTCTGGCGATGCCGCGTCGCCGCTCTCTGCCTCGATCGGGATCAACCAGTGCGGGCCATGGTCATCGTCACAGGGTACGGCAGGTGTCCCACCGTCGTCCCCCCGGGATACTACGGGAACCCGTTCACTCATCCCGCTGCACTGTCCACCGCCGGTGAAGAACTCTGCAGGAAACCGTTGGCCTACGCCGTCCAGTTGATAGGTAAGGCGAAATCGGAGATGACCATGGAGTACCTGCGGTCGATGGCAGATCTGATTGCGGTGAAAGGGTGGATGGCGACCTATAATTTGTCTATAGGGGCGATGATCGTATCGGACCTGAGGCAGCTGGGCCTTAGGGAGCTAGACTTTGATGGTGTTAAGCCCAGTCAAATAAAGTGCGTGTAAAGATTGCCGGAAACGGAGACACTCCAACCGATTCTCCGGCGACGACTGTTTCAAGATCTTTACCGTTTTTCTTTAAGTATTTATTTTGATTTAATCCTGACCGTCCATCTCAGTCAAGTTATAATGGCTGAGACAAGAGCTACCTGGGAACATGGGTCCCACGAATTGTAACTGCCTTAACCGACCGTTACATTTCTCTCTGCTATAAATGTAACCTTTGTGTTCGATGAAAAGAAGAAGGAGAGAGGCTGCCTTATTTTCTTTGAAAACATCCGTGCTTTGGTCCTTCCTCATTCTCTCTCCAGATCCAGTGATCCCAACATTCGGTATCAGAGCTGTGTTGCGGACAGAAGACGAAATGCCGCACCGAGGAGATGCTACGGAAAGTGAGAGCTCGCTCGCCGCGAGTGGAGCCGCGAAAGGTCCTGGAGACACCAATTATCCAGGTACTTTTCCAGTCTTGAACAAGACTAATTACCCATTGTGGGCAATGCGTATGCAACTCCATTTGGAAGCTCATAGCTTGTGGGATGCAATTGAGTCTGATTCGGTGGCAAGGAAGAAGGACCAGCAAGCACTATCAGTGATGCTTGGAGCTGTGTCTGAAGACATTCAAACTCAGCTCGACATCACCAAGACGGCGAAAGAAACTTGGGAACTTCTCAAGTCCGCGCACATAGGAGTAGCTCGACTCACGAAATCGAAACTTCATTCTATCTGATGTGAATTCGAGATGCTGCAAATGGGAGATGAAGAGAATATGACAGATTTCTCTGGGAAATTGTCTGCGACTTGTCACTCAGATCAGAAATCTGGGTGAAAAAGTGGAAGTAGGCGCAGTGGTAGCAAAGCTTCTCAAAGCAACTCCTGCAAAATTTGATCCACTCACAGCATCTCTTGAGCAATTCGGAGATATCGACACAATGCCTTTTGAAGAAGATGTGGGATCTCTTAAGATTTATGAAGAGAAACTCCGAAATCGGCAAGAGTGAAAAGAAGAACAAGTTCTTTTCACTCACGGGACTGAGAAAGCAAAGGGTGGAAATCCTCGTGGTAGAGGACGTGGCCGAGGTCGGGGGCGTGGCCGAGACAGATGACAAAGCAATGGGAGTGGCTCGGATGAAAACTGGAAGACTCGTGACAAATCCACAGTGAAATGCTTCAACTATGATAACATGGGGCATTATGCCTTTGAATGCTATGCAAAGAAAAAGGAAGAGAAAGCTCACCTCGCAGAGACCGAAGAGAAGACTGAGTCAACACTTCTAATGGATACAATTGAAGAAGTCCTATTACAAGGCACCATGGAACCTCAGATTGAACAAGGAATATGGTACTTAGAATAGGCGCCACAAATCATATGACTGGGAAACTTGTTTAGTGAACTCACTAAATCATCTGGTGGAGAGGTGAAATTTGGCGACGATTCCAACATTGACATCTCAGGCAGAGGCAACAATCTAGTGAGTTGTCAAGATGGAAGTAAGCTGACTCTTAGTAATGTCCTTTATGTTCCAAGGCTTAAGACCCACATACTTAGTCTCGATCGATTTGATGATCAAGGATTTAAAATTGAGATGGAATCCGACTATCTCACTATCCACAATCAACATAGCAGACTTCTAGCACGGGTAAAGAAATCACAGGGAAGACTTTACCCACTGGAATTGACAATTGAAGAACATTGTCTCATTTCAAAAGAAGCTAAAGAGATTGAATGGATTTGGCACTAGAGGTGTGGCCACCTGAACTTCAACTCACTGAAGTCTCTCCCCAATATTGTACAAGGGATGCCTCCACTTCATATACCCAAGAGCATATGCCGAGACTGTGTAGCATGTAAACATCATAGACAACTATTTCTCTATATTTTGTCGTTCAGGGCCAGCAGTCCTCTAGAGCTGATTCATGGAGATCTCTGCGGCCCAATCATGCCAATTACTTATGGTGGAAATTGATTTTTCTTCCTAGTCATAGATGATTATTCTTGACTAATGTGGGTTGCAATCTTGAAGTAAAAAAGTGAAGCTTTTCAGCCCTTTGTGAGGTTCAAAACCATGGCCGAGATAGAGAAGAAATTGAAGATTGGTACTTTCCGAACTGACAAAGGAGGTGAATTTCATTCTACGGAATTTATTTCTTTCTGCTCTCAACATAGGATCAAATGTCATCTCACAGCCCCATACTCTCCTCAGCAAAATGGGATTGTTGAGAGAGAATAGAACGATTATGGAAATGGTTCAAAGTATGATGAAAAGTAAGAATTTGCCACCTGCACTATGGGGAGAAGCCATCAACACAAGCATTTATATCTTGAATCGTTCACCTACAAAGAGCCTAAATGAAGCCACACCATACGAAGTTTGGACTGGACCGAAACTGAATGTTACTCACCTTAGAGTGTTTGGGTCATTGGCTCATATGAAGATACTTGGTCGACACCTGACAAAGCTACAAGATAGAAACAAACCTATGATTTTCATAGGATATGAAGTGGGAACTAAAGCATATAGATGCTTTGATCCTCAAGAAGAGAAGGTTCATATCAGTCGAGATGTGATTTTCGAAGAAGATAGCCAATGGGAGTGGAATATTTCAGAGCAATCTAGTAAAGGTAGACTCTGTTTACCCACCTTTGTTGACTCCACTGATGCAGGAGAATATTCCGTTGACCAAGTCACTTATGCACTAATACTCGACGACTTCCTTGATCAAGCACAAGATATGTCTTCATCTTCTAAGGGAGCTTATCCTACAAGATTTAGAGATATAACTCAAGTCTATAGAGATATAAATGAGTGTAACTTAATGTTCGAGGAACCTTCCTCATATCAAGAAGCAACGTCACAAAGAATTTAGAGAATAGCCATGGAAGAAGAAATGAAGCAATCGTGAAGAACCACACATGGATTCTCATCCCATCCACTGAGGATTGTAAACCTATCGGTCTTAAATGGATATTTAAGATAAAAAAGAACTCACAGGGAGAGGTAATTCGCCACAAAGCCAGGCTGGTTGCTAAAGACTATGTTCAAAAATTGGGCATTGACTATGAGGAAGTCTTTGCCCTGGTAGCAAGAATGGAGACAATTAGAGTGATAATTGCTCTTGCAGCCCAAAATGGATGGAGACTTCATCATCTAGATGTCAAGTCAGCATTTTTAAATGGAGAACTTGAAGAAGAAGTCTTTGTCAAATAGCCGGAAGGATTCATCTACAGAGGTAAAACGAATTATGTTCTTTATGAATTAAAGTAGGCACCTTGAGCATGGTATACGAAGCTAGATAAATGTCTCACCTTACTGGACTTTATCAGATGCTCTCAAGAACATGTAATGTACACAAAATTCTCTATTAAAGCTCACTTGATAATTGGGGTATATGGGGATGATCTCATATTCACCGGAACCAGTGAAGAATGCATCTCAGATTTCAAACAAACAATGATGACGCCATTCGAGATGAGTGATCTGGGTCTATTCACCTCATATCTTGGAATTGAAGTGGAATAAATCAGAGATATGATCAGACTGAAGCAAAATGTTCTACGATTACTTAAATAGAGTGAAATGCAAGAATGTAACCCTGTCTCCACACCACTTGAAGCACGATTCAAGTTCAGTGAAGGAAGCAAGAGTCAATCAGTTGACTCAATAAAATTCAGGAGCATAATCGGGAGCTTGAGATACTTAATTCATACTCGGCCTGATCTAACCTATTCTCTGGGTTATCTTAGTAGGTGCATGGAAGCACCTACGACAGAGCACTTGGCAACCTTGAAACGGATTCTCCGATATGTTAAAGACACTATTAATCTCGGAGTGTTATTTAAGAAGGAAACAACTTCACTATATTAGGATATAGTGATAGTGATCATGCGGGTGACTCGACTGACTGTAAAAGTACAACTAGAGTACTATTCTTCCTCGGATCAAATCTGATAAGCTGGACTTCACACAAGTAGAAAATTGTTACTCTTTCCTCATGTAAAGCTGAATATGTGGCAGCTGCTGTAGTAGCATTTTAGGGAATTTGGTTGTCAAGACTCATCGGCAAGTTGATGATGGTAAAACCAGCTCCGGTCAAACTATTCATCGACAATAAATCAGCAATTGTATTGTCAAAGAATCCAGTTTATCACAGTAGATCAAAACACATTGATACATAGTATCATTTCATTCGATCTTGCCTTGAAAACAAACTGATTGAAGTGGCACCCATCAGCACTATTAGCCAACATACTCACGAAGGCATTGGGAAAAACTTGATTTGACGAACTTCGCCAGAAATTGAGCATGTTTGAAGATGGCGGGAATACTGGGCTTAGAGGGGAGATTGATGGTGTTAAGCCCAGTCAAATAAAGTGCGCGTAAAGATCACCGGAAACAGAGATGCTCCAACTGATTCGCCGACGACGACTGTTTCAAGATCATGACCGTTTTTCTTTAAGTATTTATTTGGTTTTAATCTTGACCATCCATCTCAGTCAAGTTATAATGGCTGTGACAAGAGCTACGAGGGAACTTGGGTCCAATGAATTGTAACTGCCTGAATCCACCATTACATTTCTCTCTTCTATAAAATGTAACCTTTGTGTTCGACAAAAACAAGGAGAAGAGAGGCTGCTCTGTTTTCTTTGAAAACATTCGTGCTTTGATCCTTCCTCATTCTCTCTCCAGATCCTGTGATCCAACCAGACTTTGGGTGGGGTGACGCCGTTCTCAGTATCCCGGTGAACACCGTTGTGCTTGCCGTCGTCTACTTTCCCCACACCAACACCAAAGGAGAGGAGGGGGTAGTTGTAATGATTTGGTTCTCGACGCCTGCCATGGAAAGATTTGCCAAAGAGATTGAAACCATGATGAAGGTTTCTTGAAAGGAAATCCTCCGAAGCTTAACCAGGGAAGAGACGATAGATACCTTAGTTGTAGATGATGTCAACTTAACTGAGGAAGATAGTCCAACATAAAATTCAGCCCCAATGCAATAACATAGCACCTTTAATATGGCTTTCATTAAATAATACCGTGTACTAAGAAGGTGTTACAAACTTTATAAGTGAAATGATGTTATCTAAGATTGAATAATATTATGATAGTGTGCTTCGATGGTATAACCTGTATTCTTCTATTAAGTTGGCCTAATATCTTCTTCCTTGTTGGAACTCTACAAAAGAAACACATCAACATCTCCTTAACAAGATTGTGAGTCTAACTTCCATCTTCAGCAATCTGGGGTCAATGTCAATAGGCTAAATAGACTGTGACACATTTCAGCCAATGCCAACAACTCGAGCACCAAATAACTTGTGGGGAGAGTTATATATTCAATGAAAAATAAGTTAAAATATTATTGCATTTTAGTTTTAAATCTCCAAACTGATGGAGATTTAGGATCTAGTGTTGAGTCGTGAAGAATGAGAATAATAAACTCAAAATAATTTAAATAAGTAAACCTCAATTCATTATGACTCAAGAGTAAGTGTGGCCTTTTAGATCAACACAATGAAGTCATCCGTTCTTCTTGTAGCTCAAATTAGTGATAGGATGCTTCAGAGGTGGTTCTCATTGCATGGCCCAAGGACAGTGACCTCCTTAGAAGGAGAAGAGGTCTCTTTGTGTCTTTTCTCAATTTTATCTACTATAAATAAGAGTAGGACTTGATTTTTTATATTTATATAAATGTTTACATGGGAGACTTCAATCTTGAATACTTAATCGTTAGTAAATAACTTTACATGAGATAAACATATTTGATTAATGTTTATATGAGATAATCTTATAATATAGAATATTATATATATATATATATATATATATATATATATATATATCACAACATATTTGATTAAATCCAACACAAACTCTAGAGAATAAAAATGTATAATGTTGTTGCCAAATATACTACATTAGAAATGCTGTAATATTACCATAGTCTGGGAGTATGGGGCATCAAACCACAATCTGTCCTGCCAAAATGTAAAAGAGAGGGTGTTGTAAGAGCTGATGTACGTGATGCCCCATGTAAATCTTAACATTAAAGCCATGCAAATTAAATCCTTAGAAGACCTTGTTTTCATGTAAATAGTCATTGTTGGAGAACATTGGTGGTACCATGCAACGGTGGGGATAGAGAGAGAGAGAGAGATGAAGGAG